TTTCACATCCTTTGATGCATAGGTATAATACTGCATTGTGAAATGATGCTGAGGGTTCTATTGTGCGCTGTTATTGTCTAGCTTGGGTAAATTGGCCTGTTGATCTTTCACTTCAAGTTCCATCCTGGACAAAGTTCAGATATGATTAAATACGTAGTAATCTATTTTTTAAGGTCATTGTAAGTATTTAACCAAAACCTGGGCATTAGATTAATGGATCTCTGCTATCCTTCAGATTCTGCTAGGAAACTTCTTGTAAAATTATTTAGGTAAATTAGGTAAATTATTGCAAGCTAAAAATAAAACTTGCATGCAAAATACAGGGATCCAGCAAGATCTGGTCCCTTTGTGAAGAAATAAGAAAGTCCCAGAAATGTCTGTTAAGGTCAGAATGTTCCAGAATTTCACTGCTGTTCCTGCTGTTAAAATAAGTAGCTGGTGTCAAGTGTTTAAATAATAGTTATTGCATAAGTGACTGTTGTGACATTACTCCCTGTTCAAACACAGTAGTGATTCGCAGTGTGGAAAATCAGCATTCCAAATACAGTAAAATACTGTAGATTTTTGTATGTTTTCTCAAATGATAGTTTTTAATTAAGCTAGTTACGATCACACAATAGAGTATGCTAGATAAATGACTTTCCTTGGAAGAGTGTGCAAAAACTATAGCTACACTTACTGCTCTACAGTGTCGAGTTAGGTTACCCAGAGGAGTACACAATTCCTCAACCAACTTGAAGCTTACTTTCAGTGTGGGCACAACAGAAAAGTATACCAGGAGAGGTAGCATATAATTATAGGGATGGCTAGACTCTTATGAATTGGTGGGTTTCTGCATTGGGCTATGGTATACTCGCTTAAAATTTGAGTTCAAATTGCAGATGACAAAGAGATTCTTTTCTTGCCATCTATAAACCTTATTTGTACAAATAGATTGGTCTGGCAATATTGTCTTTACAGCAAAAAATATAATACTGTATCCATTTCATAATACAAAGCAAATAATATACTGTATGTTCTGGGGCTTTAATGTTTGATACTTCGTAAGATTTCCTTCTTTTCCAGATATAATTGGGGATTTTGTGTGACTAATCCTGTCCTTGAATGTATTCAAAATCCATAGCAGGTTGATAATACCTTAAAGTTTGGATTTCATGATATTTGCAAGTTTATAGAACTGCAGGTAATTTGTAGCATATAACATTTTCAGGCTTGCAGACAAAACTGTACAAGATTAATTAAAAGTGCTTGATTCTTGAGCCTTGCTAGAACTTACGTTTGTGATGCCTGCTTAAAACTGGATCAGATTCAGAGTTGTGTAAGGAATAACGTGGCAACTGCAATCTAGAACTTACGTTTGTGATGCCTGCTTAAAACTGGATCAGATTCAGAGTTGTGTAAGGAATAATGTGGCAACTGCAATATCACATCTAGGAAGTCTTGTTAATAATTATCTTCTGTAGTAAGGGGAAATGATAGTTATAAACTGAATAACTACACAAAGTAGAACCTAGCATAATAAACAATTAGAACTAGAAATAAATGTCCACTGTCTCTTTCCATAGCACAGTGTGTGGATTTAGCAATTAAATTTGTGTCAGTTCAGTTCTTAATTTTTTCCAGGGCTTGAAAGCTTAAAGAAAGCAGTGCCAGCCTATAGGAATTCTGTATGGAGTAAGAACAGCCATGTAGTCTGTTGCAGGAAAAGCAACAGGGTCTTCTGGCATCTTACAGACTAACATGCTTTTTAAAGAGTCTAACCCATTGACGTGTAAGTTTAACTAGAATAATGTTGAGCTTCACTTTATTCCCTGCCATTTCCCCCTCGTGTGGTGAATAAAGTTCCTGGATAAGCAGTGCTTGTCATGTGTGTAAGAGTCAGCTGCTGAGTTAAGTCTTGGCAATTTGTGCTGATGCGCTGGCGAGTGGATTTTTAATTTGGCAATTGCTAACTAATTTCAGTAGAGCTGGTTGCTTTGCCAAAAAAATAAATAAATAAACAGTTGTGGTTCTGCTAGTTCATAAGGTTAGGCCTATGTAATTTTCATCATAATACTGTACACTGAATACACTGTGGGTTGATCAAAGCATTGCTAGAACATGTGGAAGCTCAAGAGGGGGATTCTTGAGCAATATTCCCTTGACTTTCAGGGGTGGCTTTTTAGTTATGTGAGGACAAGGGAACAGGTAGGCTTTAGAGCAGTCATTGTAAGTGCTCTTTGGTATGCCTGTGAACCCAACTTCCAGGTGCTTTTTTGTGTGTTTGAATGTTGGCAAGTCAGTTTTGTGGCCAGAGAGAACATCTTGTCCAAGGAGAAGGGTTAAACATCAAGAAAGGGGAACCTAACATGGTGGGAAAAAGATACACACACAGTTTGTCTGAAAGGGCCCAAATGTGCTAAACATATATTGCCCAGCAACATTAGTTACTCTTGGCACACTTAATTGGGTAATTAGGGGAAGCAATGAGTTTTATGCTGCTTGTCTGCTGCTATGCCAGAGTGAGTGAATAGGCAGATGCTCTGGGACATTTGTAGAGCCGGTTCAAATCTAAGGGGCTCCTTCATTGCTGCTCCTGAGTTTTTAATGGTCCCAGCCATGTTTTAGCCCAAGTTGGGCTAAACATTTTCCTACAGCTTTCCAGTCCCACAGGGCACACTACTGCATCTAGGGGTGCATGGGCACTATGTGTGTAGTGTTTGCTGTAGTGGTGGGAATATGCTGGGATGTGAGTGACAGCTGGAACATCACTGCTGCCTCCAGTCTCTGTCACATGGGCATAGTCATAAGTTCCATCCTTCATGGGTGAATGGTAGGCCTGCTGAGCACGAAGCTGGGATCATCCATCATCTCCTAGAAACAAAGAAATCACTTGGTTCTTTAAAATTGTTTCGACTTTATTATTTTTAAAACAAAGAACAAAATAACTGGGAAGTGCGAAACAAGATACATAATAATATTACTAGCGCAAAAGAAAAAGAAGGAAAAAAAGAGAAAGAAGGAAGTAAGGAAAAGAAGGAGAAAGAATAATGCTTACATATAGAACTTCTATAAAAGATTCTAGATATCTAAAAATGTACCCAAATGTAGTTATTGTTACACCAACGTTATGGAACAATATCCAAAATAGAGGAGCTTGTGAAAGGGAAGACAGATGTGCAGGCTTGCTAACCTGTCATGTCCATAGGGCTCCTGGCCTTTAGACAGGAGTGCAGAAATTTGGAATCATCTTCAACTTGTGGACACCATCACATGTTGCATAAATGACTTCCATGGAGTGTGCAAAGAGAATGGAAGCTTGCCTGGAGTAGGCAAATTTAGAACTCTACATAAGAGCACTGCCGGTCACGAGCCTGCTGGCCATTGCCACTGGTCATAGGATGGGTCTCCCACTTCCTTTGGAAAGAAGAGGGTGTTAAATAGGTCCTGAACCTGTGGGATAGAAGCCTGTGGAAAGAAGAGCCAGTGAGGGAGAAAGAATGAAAAGCATTCGTATGTGGAATCCCGAGGCACCACTGCCTTTGCGCAGAGTGATGATGCTCTTTTGTCGCCATCATCGGAGTTCTGCTATGGGAACTCGAAATGTGTACAGTTAAGGGGGCACAGTTTTATACATCTGACAGGACAACCGCTCCAGTGTAGGGTTTGTGTCCTGCTAGCAGTGCAGTGTTCTGCAACATAAACCCTGTCATTTCAGGCTGGCTGTATGTAGTGGTTGTAATATATTTTAAAATATGTTTTCCTTCCTGTTGAATGCTATCTCCATCCCCAGTGGAAGTGTAAAGGAGAATCTGAAGACTAAACATTGGTCTTAGCAGCAACCCCTGACTCTCTGCTCTCTTTGCAACCTGAGCAGCAAGGACAGCTTTTTTTAGCTGAAGGCAGTTGAGGTCCCACAATCCTACACCAGGTGAGAATGAGTCAGAAGGAGGAATGTAAGAGGGCAAGAACTAGGTTTTGCAATATATGCTGCTAGTTGATCTCTCCCTTTCCTAACCAAACCGTGATAGTGCTTTTAAGGAGCATTTGCCCTCGCCTGCAGTGAGGATAGTCATGGCTAAAGTGTAGCCCTCCATATATTCTTGGACTGCAATTCCTGTCAATTCTAGGACAGCACAGTCACATCTAGAGGGCTGCCCTTTACCTACCATTGATGTATGGGATCTTCTGTATGTCCATATGCTAGGTGGGGTACCTGTGTGCTTTTAGGAAAGGATGTGTGCAGCCTCTGGTATCTGAAATCATTTTTTTTTTCATTTTTGTCCAACGTTTAATGGTCCACAGCAATTTATATTCCAGTACAGGATTTATTTTAAAATTAGATCTGATTCGTTTTTTTTCTTTGATGCTTCATGTCTGGTCACATCCTGAAGTAGACTTTCAAGTTTGATAGCTGGAAATCATTATGCAATGCGATGCCAGGGAGGCTTCCCATAGGGTGCATAAGTTCTTCAGGTTTTTCCAGATGTTATCCTGTTACCCCAGGGGGTTGCCTGTTTAAGTTGGCAACTGATTTCAGAAAGATGAAACATTCTGTCTCAGTTGCCTAATATGGTTGCATGAAAATTGTTTCTGGGAGTGATATACTTGACTTTTAGGGTAGTAACACTTGGAAGTATGAACTCTTCTCATGCTGTCTTCATTACCTGAAACAAACTTTCCAAACTGTGGCATGTTATTCATTTTACTTTGTCCATTTCTTCCCATCTCTCCTATCTTCACCCCTTCCCAGTTTTGTGCCGTCCATGGCCTGACATGTCATAGTTGTTCATTGGCTGTCTTAAATTCATACTTCATCATTTTGAAAAGGATAATGGAAAGACTCATGAAAATCTGGGATAATATTCTCTCATTTACATGTTCTCTGATGTTTCCAGCCATAATTCCTTACATCAGAGGAAAACGGATAGTCAGCCCAATTAAAAACAAAAATTAAACCCTAATTGAGTTGCCTGTGAGATCCACTGTTGTTCTAATGGCAATCCTTTTACTCTCCCCAGTCAGGTCAGTTCAGTGAAGATATGATTCCTACAGTGGGCTTTAACATGCGGAAGGTGACCAAGGGTAATGTCACAATAAAGGTACGTATGCTGGATTTGTGAAGACAAATCCAATGATCTGCTATAGGATCTAAAAGAACAAATGAAAGAGGCTCAGGCCAAACTCTGAAGGAACAGAGAGATTTTTCAAATCTCCCTGATCATTCATTGATCTGTTTTGTATTTATATCAGTATCTATGCTATCTGCTAGGCTTCAATCACTTGTAAGGGACGTTGCATGCAATATTTTATCAACTCTTGGAGATGGAAGAGAAGAGAACAGTTTCACTTGTTTCAACAGTGCTGGAGTGAAAAGCACTTGGTCTACACGTAGTTCAAAATCTGTGTAACACTTATTCTTCCCCCCAAAAAACATGATTAAAAAGCATATTGATTAACACACACCCCCTCCCCTAACCCGCATCAGCCTCCCAGGATACTCCCCAGCTAGAAGGTGACCAAGGGTAATGTCACAATAAAGGTACGTATGCTGGATTTGTGAAGACAAATCCAATGATCTGCTATAGGATCTAAAAGAACAAATGAAAGAGGCTCAGGCCAAACTCTGAAGGAACAGAGAGATTTTTCAAATCTCCCTGATCATTCATTGATCTGTTTTGTATTTATATCAGTATCTATGCTATCTGCTAGGCTTCAATCACTTGTAAGGGACGTTGCATGCAATATTTTATCAACTCTTGGAGATGGAAGAGAACAGTTTCACTTGTTTTAACAGTGCTGGAGTGAAAAGCACTTGGCCTACACGTAGTTCAAAATCTGTGTGTAACACTTACTTTCCCCCCAAAAAAACATGATTATAAAGCATATTGATTAACACACACACCCCTCCCCTAACCCGCATCAGCCTACCAGGATACTCCCCAGCTTTCATGTGGAGCTGCCACGACCGGGGCGGGGGGCTGCTGGGTAGTGTCTATTGTACTGGGGACTACCATCCTACCAGCAGCAGTTCACTAGGTAAGCCCAAGACCCACCTTTCTCAGGCCACTTATTGGAGATGAAAAGCAGCACATAATTTATTGAATTTTTAAAAAATTAATTATTGAGATATTATTAATTTATTTATTGAAAAAAAACTATGTATAACCAAAACCGTGCTGCTGAGATCCGTGCAATTCAAGGGAGAATTGTATTTAGTCCAGTAGGAGGCATCATCTTCCAATCTGCTACAAATAATGAGTGGCTGAGATTTTGCTGCACAGCTCTGTGCAACTAAAAGTCTCCTGTCTGCAAGGGGAAACAACAAGGCAGGTTTCCTCTTATTATGGCTTTTCTTGCAACATGAGAGGAATAATGTCATTAACAACAGCAGATTGCCATAGATCAAAGTGTTTCTTTTGTTATTTCACTGTATGCATGACTTGCATACAAGTCCCATGGATCTTAAAATCTCAAAACAGAGCCTTTAATCAATAGCAGTCTGCCCCTGTCCAGTAGATTTTGGTCAGTAATTTCCACTCCTTTAAAGGCAAATTTTCCAAACTTGAGAACTTTTATGTCCACTGTACTGTAGTGTCCCATACTCAGTGGAAGGCAGTAAATCCTTTTTTCAGCTAATTCTTTTAAATGATTATACTATTAAGTACAGTTATTTGTTGGATTATATTTCTTTTAACAATCTAATAGTAAACTGCACAAGGAAGATTTGCAAACTGGGTAATTAAGTGTGACATTAAAACATTTATTTTTATATGTTTTAATGAGAACTATAAACCTTAATCTACACCAGTGGACTTTTAAGAGTGATAAAGAGCTGAAGTTGGCTGGACAGCTGAGTGAGTTAAGTATCAGGCTGCAGAGTGAGAGGTTGGGTGTTTAATTTCACACTTTGCATCCCAGAAGAGCCAGCCTGTGCATTCCTAGGCAAGGTGCACAGTCCCAGGATGCCTCCAGAAGAAGGGAATGGTAAACCACTTCACAATATTCTCTGCCTGGGAGAAAAAGCCTGAAAAGAGTCAACAGAAGTCAGAATTGACTTGACTGCACCTGATTATTAAAGAGCTAAAGGGTGTCACAGATGTGACGGTGTTACTGGGGAACATTTGTTTGCTACAATGGTAGACATTTAATAGGAACAAGCAGCACAACAGGATTCAGTCTTACTCATTCACCAGATTTGCCAAAAAAAGAGAGACCAAATTAGTTGGTACAGGTTCATTTGTGTGGGTTTTTTTTAGATAGCAGCACTGCTGTTTTAATGTACTAAATTCTGTTACAGTGTTGATAGACTAGCCATGCATTTCTGTTGCTCAGGTATTTTGGAGTATAGTAGGTATAGACATCTCTGGACAGCACCTGTCTCATAGGCAATAGAAAAAACATAGGAGACCTGCTTTGTTGTCCCTCCTTGCAGGCAGGATAACTTTAGGTTTATGGCTTATGTAGTTTTCTCTGTGATTTGTAAAATTTTAAATTCAGCCTTTTGACATGTTTCTCTTTTTCTGTCAAAAGATCTGGGATATAGGAGGACAGCCACGATTCCGGAGTATGTGGGAGCGCTATTGCCGAGGAGTTAATGCTATTGTGTAAGTGGTGATGTTTTGAGACTAATTTCTTGCAGCTGCTTTCTTTGTGTGTTGTACTGTATGTAGTTTTCAGTTCTGTTGCTGTTCTGTTTTCAGCAATTAGAATAGAAATAAGCTTGGACTGCAAACTGTGCCCACTTTGACTTCCTTTCATCCGAGTTTGGCCAATGTTAGTCTTCACTAACGAGAGAAAAATTTCTTTAACTATTCAGCAGCGTTTTACCAGAAGTGTGTTTTATGTTTCTAAAGTATGAAACTGAGGCTGGTAACCAAAATAAAGCACTATTATCTATATTTGAACATCATGTTAAAAGACAGTTTAATACCTCAGTTGCAGGCGGAAGTCCGCCTCCTTCCCTCTCCTTCCCTGGTTTCAACTTGGTTTTTTTTCAAACCGTATGCTGGAGGAGGGAAAAGAAGGCTAGAAGTGAGCATGTGAGCTTGCTGCTGCTTGTTTTTATTGCAGTAAACTCTGGTTAGCACAACATACTGACCAGGCCAACTTAAAAAAAGTGATCTGTGGCAATGTGTGTTACGTGGCTGGACAATACTGGTGCATGACCATGAAATCTGGTATCTTAAACGTGGCGTTAACAGGGATTTATTCCATTAAGGTTTTATACATAGAATACCACTGAATAACTGAAACCTAGATATCTATTCCTTTTAATAGATACATGGTAGATGCTGCAGATCGTGAAAAAATAGAAGCTTCTAGGAATGAGCTGCATAATCTACTAGACAAACCACAGCTACAAGGAATTCCTGTGAGTAGGAAATACCTGATCTGCTCTGTTGAAAACAGAGGAGTTTTTGAATGCTGAAAAGTAGTGGTGGGGAGGGTTGAAGGGCAGAAAAACAGTGAAAGTTTAGTCTGAATGTGATTTCAATTAGAAAAGGATGGCTGGGAGACTTTGAGAGTTGTGGTACTGGGTGCAGAATGTTTGAGACCCTTTGAGTGTCATATGAAGATAAAGGATACTATGAAAAGAGTTCAGAGAAGTTTTAAAGTATAAACAGATATAACAGCAAAAACATTAGTGATCTCTAAATAAGTGTAGTTTATTTTCTTGTTCTAGCTTTACAAATAAGGTGTTCTCTTGTTGCATTAACTTGTGCATAAGTCTGTTTGGTTTGGAAACTGGATCCCTGTTATGCTACTATCAAAATCAGGAAATACACACAACCTGTTTTCTCTGCTGGTATTCTTTTAATTAATGAACTTAGTTTTAATTAATGTGTTAGTTTTAAAACAGTAAATAGATAGAAACAAAGGACCTCTGGAAAGTGGTGGGCGTGACTGGTGTGAAAGGATAGCTCTGTTATGCTGTCATATACCACAACCACAGACTTTGGTTTCTCCAGCAGCACTTTTGGCAGCACCTCAGCCAGCTTGCACAGAGAAACTTCTGGAAAGTGGCATGAATGATACACTGGGAAGATCCTTCTTTGGTCTCTTCAGCCCTCTGCCAGTTGCCGATCCTCAAAACTAGTGTCTAGGCAGATGCTTCTTTTTTATGAGGGAGATGTAATAAATTATCTATAGATGGTGCCAGCTCCTTCCCCTCGACCCTCCAATCTTGACTGGGGCTGTACTGAGTGCCCCGTTGGACAAAACTGAGTCAGATTAACCCCACTGAACTCATCCCCTTAGTTTTAACTATGGTGCAGCCATCGTTCCTTCAGGTCTGCACTCACATGGCTAAGCAGACAAAGTAAATGCTGCAAAAGCATAGGAAGTAGTTGGTATGAGGGTGCGGACTGTTTATGTATGCAGTGGAGACTGTATGTGTCAATTATGCATTGCCCATAGAAAGTTGATCACTTCTGCTCCAAGTCAACCATTCACAGAAGACAAACTGAAACTTGTGTTCGTTCACATGACTAATTTATTTTGTATTGCTTTGCTTTACAAGAGAGGGATCTGGTATTGGAAAGAATGCTAAATCCTAATAAATGCATTTTCTGTTTTTAGGTTTTAGTACTTGGAAACAAAAGAGACCTTCCTAATGCTTTGGATGAGAAGCAACTTATTGAAAAAATGTAAGTGTAATAAAGTAATAGACATGTTGCAGAAACCACATCCATGTTGTCAGGTGGTTTCTAGAAGGGGGCATGGTGAGAGTTCTTAGCATGAGAAATATTTATTATTCCTGCTCATTATAATGAGAATTTAAATCCTTCCTAATTAAGTAAGCTGCTGCCAGACATTATTACCAAGCTGCTTGTGTTTTGTTTTTCTTCTAGGAACCTGGCTGCTATTCAAGACAGAGAGATCTGTTGCTATTCCATTTCCTGCAAAGAAAAGGACAATATAGGTAATTACAGTTTAGAAAAATTGACTGGTGTCAGATGCAGAGACTGGATTCATAGGGCTCTGCTTTCAGTCAGTTCCTCTGATTGTTCTCCTCCTATTGCTTTCAAATATTTCATTAGTATAGATGACTGATGTGACCCTTTCTCTGAGCAAGTTGTGCCCAAGCAACTCATAATAAGCACTGCTTGTCAAAATGCCATTTTACAAAATGAAAACAATATTTATGGCAATGAATTTGTCAAAGCTTAATTTATACAAAGCAAAACTGAGATTAAGAGACTGAAGGGGAGGGGGAATATAAATAATGCTCTTTGGATAGTCTTGTTGTATCATAAGAAGCACAACAGTCTGATGTCATATAGTTCAGACAGGGTAGGATCTTCTCACCAGACTAAATATTATTCATTTGGCTGGTTTGTCTCATCTCTCAAGACTTAACAGCAGCAGTAAAAGGGGAATGCTGAGGAATGGCATGGTTTGTTCTTTTCTCCCTAGCTTTTTATTTATTTAATTTATTTATTTGTTCAATTTATATCCCACCCATCTGGTATATTCTACCACTACCTTCAAGGATGTTCATGCCATTGGCACTACTGTTCACCAGCTTTCTGCCATTACATATCCTCTCTGTGTGTATTATATGCCATCCGTCAAATTAATTCTGATTGACATTGACCCTAACAGGGTTTTTCAGATACGTGAGATATTTAAGGAGTGGTTTTATCAGTGGCACCCCTCTTCCTTCATGGCTGAGCAGCTATTTGAACCAAGGTTTCCTGAGACCTAGGCCAACATTATGTTAATTTGTAACTTCTGTGTGTCTATGCATCAAGGTGCTTGTGTAACTAGATTCACCAAACTTACTTTTATACTTGAGTCATTTACATCAGAGGTCCCAAACCTCTGGTCTATGACCCGGCAGTGGTCTGCAAGCCTATCCAGGACTGGGCCGCGGACACAGATCTCCTACCTCCCCCGCGAGCACTGTTGTGCGCATGCGCGTTAGTGCATTCCACCCCTGTGAGTGTGCTGTGTGCTTGTGTGCGAGTGCCCTCCTGGCACAAGCGTGATGTGCGCACGTGTGCAAGCATGTTCCACCCCTGCAAGCACACCATGCGCTTGTGCGCTAGTGCCCCCTGTGAGCATGATGTGCGCAAGCAAGCTCCGCCCCCCCTAACCCCCCCCACCAGTCCATGGTTGGGAAAAGGTTGGGGACCAATGATTTACAGTGTTTGTGAGCTAAAACCATATATGTGACCATAGTGAGTTTTCCCCCTGTCCCTTTATTCAGTTTCTAAGGTTGTGGTTTCTGTATTCACATTTGGAAACAAATACCCTTAAAATGGATGAAGCTTGCTTACAAATAATGCTGTAGCCCTGTAGCTTTTTATTAACTGTCATATATAGTTTGAGGTATTTCTGTGCATGAGAAAAATCCTGTTGTGAATGCAGTCTCCTGAATGTGCATACAGAATTTGCCAAACTGAGGCAATACTGGTCTTGAGAACTTGAACAGACACCTGTCTGGCTCTGCTACCTGCCTGAAAAGACACTTGCAATTTTATTTTAATTTTAAAATATATTCTATTTTTGCAATTACAAGTAGTTGTAGTAGTTCAACTACTATATAAAGTGAGCTCAAATATCATTAACCTTTCCAGAGAACTCCTGTTGAGATGCTTGAGCCTTGGCAAATCTCAGAGGCATTCCCAAACACTAAGATCATCTCTCATTTGTTCTATGGGCTGTTCTCAGAATCTCAAAAATGAAATTCTTAATTTTCATGATCTAATCTAAATTATTTGTTTCTGTTGTATAAATAAGCTCATATTTCAATTTTTACACTGGATATTCGATTGCAGAAAGAGTATTCTGGGAAATGACTAATATTTCTTTTCCTCCCTAGATATCACACTTCAGTGGCTTATTCAGCATTCAAAGTCTAGAAGAAGCTGAAATCTTACAGAAATCCTTGTTGGCCATAATCTCAACTGTCTACTCCCTCCATGATGAAATATTATCTAGGATAGTTCTCCTTTATTGAAGGAATTGCCTTTTTTCACAGTTCATGCCTCCATGTGCACTGCTGAATGACTTATACTCTTACTTCTGTCAAAGAATTGGCTAGAGTTGTCATGAATTGTGTAAATGTTTTTATTAAGTTCATCTAAACAGTGGCAGTGGGTGCCCCTTCTCCTAAAGCTACGTTAAATCAAAGAGTGTTTTTCCTCTGATCTTTGTGAGCCAGGCTTTTATATTTGATTTTTCAGCAACTTTATTTAATTCTTGTATTTAGTGGCTCATTGAAGATTCTGACATACGGCAGCACGAGAATTCTAGCACCACTTATTGTACTTATAAAGCTTTTCAAACACTGTTTGAATGGGATACTAATTCTTCTCTCAGATGCATGGTGATGTGTATTGTAAAATGGTTTGCAATGGAAAGTACCAGGCACTCGATATTAAATCACTAATTACCTTAAATTTTCAATTTTTATTCATCCCGATGAATTAGAAATGTCAAATTGTCAAGTGTTTCTTTGTATCTGCAGGCCATTGCTGATATCTTTACATATGCTAAAATTCTTAAAGGGAATAGAGGATAAAGTACTTCAGAATGATGCTTTCAGGAATTTGAACACAAGCGGGTAAAAGAACCTAAGAGTAGACAGTCACACTTTACTCCTTGAAATGCTTTGCGAAGTCTGTACAGCTGCATGACACGTAGGTGTCACAGAGTCCCAGCACAAAAAAGGAATATTAACTGTCTAGCTTGTTCCTTCTGCTAATGGAATAGTTGTGCACAGTTGCATTTGGTGTAGAAAATACCTAGGCTATTGTGACAACTCTAGGTTTGCCTGCTTTCTCAGTGTGTAATCATGTGTAAAATTCACAGGCTGTGAAGTGTTAAATGGTGTTTTCAAGCACAAGAGAATCAGTGAACTGATCTTGTTTCTCGGTCAACTTCTGCAGCACAGATGTATGAACTTCAAAAACTATAACACTACTTCTGTAGCTTTACCTTCTTGGCAGTGTCAGCATTGAGAGGGACAGACTTGTAAACGGTGGTTTTGTTCATACAGTAATGTTAATGGTGCCCACTGTATGCATACAAATATATGGTATATCTGCTTGTGTTGCCCTTCACTGTGTTGGTTTTTTTTTAAACAGCACCTGCACGTACTTAGATGCTGAAGTTTTTGGAGTGTCTGCTTTACTTTCATTCAGTACATTTAAGGGCATGATCTTATATAAATGTGTGTCTAATCCAGTACAAAATTACTACCTAAGGACAAACATCTCATATTAGCATTGCGAATTGCAAACGTGTGATTCCCCTTTGCTGCCTGCATGCACAGCAAAGCTCTTCTAGCCTTATACAGGCATTCTTGTGTTACTTTGAAGGGTTCTCTGCCCAAAGGCCATAGGCCATACCTTTACAGCAACACATGGAATGTTTGTAAAAGACAAAGCAGAATAATAAAAGAGAAGGTAAAATACGCAAATCTTGCCCAGTTTGAATGTGTTTAAAGCATTATGGGTGTAATGTATGGGTACTTGTACAAAATTACAAGAACTTATCATAGCTGTTGGACCAAGTTAACAGCCCATTTTGATTAATGCTGTCATTGCCTTACAGTTCTCTATAAATTACTGCGCTGTTGCACAGACACAAGTATTGCCTCCATTGACAAGCGGAGCTTGCAGCTTCAATTTAAATAATCTTCTAATGAATCCTGTGTTGTTGGTGCTGCAGAGAAGGTTCTGTAACTTTCTATTATATTTCACACTGGATAGCTACACTTGACTAGAGAGTCTCTGCTTGTGCCTAAAAAGGAGAAGAAAAGAGAAGAAAAGAAAACTCAACTGGAATGTGTCAACCTTCCTGTGGCAATCAAATTACTGTTTAGGTAACTGGCTTATTGCTGATTTCAGTGTAATTGGTTTTTTTGTGTGTATACTTCACTGCTCTCATTATTCTGACACCCAAAAACCACTACCAACTTTTAAATCTGTGCATTAATCTTGGCATGTGAAAAACTTACAGATTTACCAAACTATGTAAATATGTGAATTTTTTATTTAGGTGGATTGCATTTTGTTGGTTTACTGCTGGTTAGCTTATCCAATAAACTTATGTTTTCAGGGTCACATTGAAAGTATGTAGCTTGAATCTTCATGGTTTCTTATGTGACTAGAATAAGGTAAGACTACTGTATAAGCCTGCTCCAAATATTTTACTCAGATTCCCTTACCATGCCTGCCTGCGTCCAGAATTAGTGTAACTCAGGCTGCAGAAGACAGTAGTGGAAACTATTCTTTCCACAGTGAAATCTGATATTCCATTGTTCATAATGGAAATATTGTCGTTAGAGATGGAGATATTCGTATTCATATACAAATATCCCCACACAGTTGGAATTAACGAGGGTCCGGCCCCTGGTGCTGAACCGTCCATTTTTGCTTCTGCCAGCAATGGCCTTGCTAATCCTTCCAATTACACAGTTGGAATTAACGAGGGTCCGGCCCTTGGTGCTGAACCGTCCATTTTTGCTTCTGGCAGCAATGGCCTTGCTCATCCTTCCAATTACTCCTGGAGCCCTGCTCTCTTCCCGCTTGACTGGCCACTCGGCAGCTGTGCAGGGAGACCCATCCTCCCTCCCACTGCCTGGAGTGGGTAGCTGAGCAGGAGGGCTCTGGGGGTGATTGGAAGGATATGTGAGGCTGCCGGTGGACGTGTGAGTGGACTGTCTGGCCCCAGGGGCTGGACCCTCGTTAAGTCCAGCTGTACAGGGATATTCGTATACAAATACCTCTATCTTTAATTGTCATGTGAACATTCTGCTTAATCCCATAATAGAAACTGTGCCATTATGATCATTGTGCCATTATGATCATTGTCATTATGATCATTGCAGTCAAATGCTGTGATGCTGTCGTACAGCACAGCAAATCAGCATTTTACAAGGCAATTCTAAAAATGGGAGGAGCTAAAACAAAAATCATAACTTTTAAACTGAACCTTCGATTAGCACCAAGTTTGGCACAGATGTAGCAGACAGTCTGCTCTTGTGCTGTGCCAAATTTGGGGACATTTGAACAAAGGGCTTTTGAGTTAATGATTTCTTAAATATAACACTGCCCCTATGCAGAAACAAGTGACTTTAAACCTCCCCAAATTTAAAACAGATCGCATGAATTGAAAAGACCAGTCTTGCTTATTTTAAAGAGTATGGTTGGCACCATCTGCTTTATTTTATTTTTTATTTTTACTTATTTGTATTGATCCTTCAAAAAGGCCTTTCAAAAGGGCAAAAACAATCACTTTGTAATAAGAGTAAGCATGTGTAAAACAGGCTTACCAGCAAGGGTGTTGCAAAGTAGATACATTGTTACAGCTTCATGGCTTGAATGAAAATTCACAGAAACCATCTAAAGACAAGTTTTCTTTGAAGAGTTAAAAGAAAGACGCTTGTTTCAAAGAAAATAATGAAGTGACAGTCCCCTAGAAAGGGACATTTTCCAATGTACCTCCACAAAACTAGCATACAATTTTGTAAGCCCTGTTCAAAGTATATCTGCATTACAAAAGCACAGAGCAGTTTGTCGTAGCCCTGAGTTATTTCAGTAACATTTCTGAAGCCAAGCTCCTGACAAGTTTTTAAAGGGAAAATCAGCTTCTGGTCTGGGGCAGTCTGAACTTGTGACCCTATCAGTCAAGACCCAGTTAGCCAACTCTCAGGGGAAGAACTTTTTAAACCCTTCCTGACCAAGCAGGCATTGTTCTGGCAAAGGGATTCTGTGTCTGGTTTTAAAAAGTCTCTTGTTTAAGCTGTAAAATTTCTGTTTTTTGCTTTGTGGCTGGGAATGGTCTGACTCAATGTTAGCAGAGCTTTGGTGCCTATTACAGTTATCTTGCCACTATGCAATTGCTTGGTAATTAAGGAAAAAAACCCTCCAAAGATGCTGTGTGCTGTCAAGTAACTTCTGAGGAGTGGTGACTATATGAGTTAATCACTTCCAAAATGTCCTATCATTAACCACTCTACTCAGATCTGACAAACTAATGCGATTTCATGTCAGGTTGTTCTCTCCCCCTTTTGCCATCTCTCCCTTTTTAGCCAGATTGTCTTTTCCAGAAAGTTCTGCTTAGTTCTTACAAACTAACAGCTATGGTTTCTTTTATTGAGACCATCTGTATCATACTCCCCTTTTCCTATCCCCCCCTCCCTCCCAGCAATATTGTCTTTTCTGGTTAGTTCTGTCTTCCCATATGCTCAAAGGTAAGATAGCCTCACTTTATTCATTTTTGGTCTAGTGAGAGTTCAGGCTTACTTGATTGAGCACCCACATTTCTACTTCTGATTGTCTGAGGTATCTGGCAGGCTCTCCTCCAGGACCACATTTCAAATGAGTTGATTTTTGTCCCTGTCTTTTTTTTTTCTTTTTTTCTTTTGCTGTCTTTCTTTCACATAGTATGGATGATACTAACCTTGACTTCCAGTCAGTGACATCTTTGCTAATTCCAGCTGCTCCCCTTCTTTTATTTTAAAAGGTGAAGGATTTGGAAACTGGAACATAGTTTTCTAGTCTACATTCTGCAGAGTAGGCATGGCAACATTAGTTCGCATGTGAGGTGTTTATTTCTCTGTTGTATGTGTTCTGCTCACTCACACTTTTGCTCCACCATTTCATTAAGTCCAGAACTATCCTTTAAAATATTTTGCAGAAGGACTGCAGACACATCCCGGCTGTTCTTGCTTCTTTCCTCTCTCAGCAGCTGTAATATACATCATGTGCTCTATTACTGGGTAACTCTACATGAGGGAAGTTTCTCTTGGCTTTGAGTACGAGTAAAAGGTTCAGGGAGGCTGCTTGCTCCCTGAATAAATTTTACACCTATTCAGTGTAGGTTAGCAGAATATTTGAGGTGAAAGATGTTTTTCAAGGGTATGTTTTAGTGTTACTGGGAAGATTGGATTATTTTTCTTGAAAAAGAGAGGCTTTGTAGGTTAGCCATCTTAGTGACAATGATGTGGCAGTTGTAGAAATCAAGCAGTTGCCTCAGTCGCAGGAACACATTGACTTTAATTAAATCACAACATTCACTGTGCTTTAATTTATCTCTGTGTGTCTCCTCCTCCCCTGGTAGCATTCCAGATCTTTGACTATGTTCCTGACAGCTACTCAAGTGTTGCTTTCTGTCACTAAATAAAGACTTGAGCACACTGGGCATGAACAGAGAACAACTTTGGACATGATTTAGGCCTTCCTGAAATTGAGGATCAACCAATCATCTGAAGGCTATTTAACTGTGAAAGTATAAAAGAAAGCAGGCCAGGACTGAAGTAAACTTTTCAAGACTATAAAGAGATCCCTCTCAGAAAAGAAATGCTATGTCAGTGAACACGAGTGTAAGTCAATACGAAATCTTTTTTTATAAATTTCCCATGGAAAATTTCATTATAAAGTCAAAGGACATTTCTCAACTGTAGCTGTCTTCGGGCCTAGTCCTGCCCCTCCCACCATCACTTTTTCTGCAATTATATCACTGCTTAGTGTGAAGAGAAGAGATTCCTGCTCATATGTAAGCCTTAACATGCAAGCAAGAATCCAAATTATCCAAAAGTACAAATTCCTTTTCATTGTCATCATCACACGAAGAGTGCTTTAGAGTCAAAATAAGAACAAGGAAATAATTCAAAGCTTGCATGAGAAGAGTTATGAAAAATTATTTTCAACAAGAGCCAGTTATGTGTTAATCCAAGATTGAAGTTCCTATAAGAGGCCCAGTGTCTCTTTGAAGGGGTCTGACTTATTAGCTATGCTTAATGATCTGCAGTGCATTTCTAGCATTACACTTTAAAAATCAACTTTAGGAGAGTACACAGGTAAGCTGACAATAGGCTGGGAAGAATATCCTCTCATTTGATTCTTTTTCTTGCTAAATTTGAAGCCTAACACTGTCTTTCTTGAGGAGAATGTAAGATGGATTTGAGGTTTATAAGGAAGTGCACATTTACTGGGGAACAAAAATAGCACATGTATGTCATTAGACCAAAGATCCGTTTAGTGCAGATTTCTGTTCCCTCTGTAGCCAGCTAGACAGCTCTTCAAAGACCACAAGCAGGACATGAGTACAACAGCATTCTCCATATATGTACCTCAATGTACTACCTCATAAAAAAAAACAAACATAAGAGCCATGCTGCAATCTGGGTCAGATCAGAGGCCTATCTAGCTCAGCATTCTGTTCACACACTGGCCAATCAGTCACTTATGGGCAGCTTTCAGGCATGACATGAGCCCACCACTAAAGGTAGAAAGATACACCATCTCTTATAGTGGAGGGAATACAGATTCATCATGACTGGTAGCCACTGATAGCTCCACCCTCTATGAATTGGGTCAGTCCTCTGTTAAAGCTATTCATGTATGCAGCCATAACTAGATTTAATGGTAGTTAATTCAGCAGTACAATTATGCTTTGTTTGAATCACTTCATTTTGTTTGACCTGAACCTCCCACAAATCAGCTTCAGTAGATAACCCTGTGTTCTAGTATTATATTATGTGCTGTCAGGTGAGAACTGACTTACAGTAACTAATAGTATTTCCAGGTGAGCAAGATACTTGAGGAGTGATTTTAGCAGTGCCACTCCCTCAGTGAGTTTTAATGACCCAACCACTGTCTTAGATGGCAGGTACATGAATGTCCCTAAACATCTAAGGCTGCACATCTGCGGAGCAGGTCAGAGAGGATGGTCTCCATTATTTACTCTATTGTCAGCTATATCAGAACCCTCGAGAAAAGCTGCTGGGTAACATTCTGTCTGCTCTACAGGAGGAAAGCCCTCAGATAAAGGTGGTCAGGTTGCTCTTGGACTGTGACCCTTATGTTACGTATAGAACAGCGCTATTCGCAAAAGCGGCCAGAAACATTCGGCCTAATTTTCTGAAAGCCATTGCGATCAATTGTGTGGGAGATTCTCTGGTATGAGGGGTCTCTTATTATTTTATATGCCTGTGGTTTTATCATGATTTTAATTGACCTTATCTGTATTTTAAACAATTATGACGGCTTTTGGCTAATGCAATAAACTTGAACTGAACTAATGACCCAGTGAGGATTTAAAGCAGATTTCCTCACTTATCCACTACAGCAGTATTTCTATTAAAAAAGAGGAAAGTACTTTCCATCTTAGTCTGTACAAAGCATAATTTTAATAGCCATCAACACTAGAGGTTTGAAGCAAATCTGGGGAATCATGAGCTGAATGAGGCTCTTTCAGCAAAGTCCTGGAACTGAGAACCAACTCCACTTATCTGTCTTCCCTAAGTAAACTGCAATCCTGTATGTAGCTTTGAGACTGCAAAGACTGGTCATTGCTGAGAGCCACCCACCAGAAAATATTATTAGGTGGCAAAAACTTCGAATAAGTTGCTACCTTACTAGTGTTAACTTGCTAGGTAAAGGTTCCCCTTGACATTTAGTCCAGTCATGTCCGACTCTAGGGCGCAGTGCTCATCCCCATTTCCAAGCCATAGAGCCAGTGTTTGTCCGAAGACAGTTTCCGTGGTCACATGGCCAGCACGACTAGAGACGGAAAGCAGTTACCTTCCCACTGAGGTGGTACCTGTTTACTCACACTTTTATGTGCTTTTGAACTGCTAGTTTGTCTGGATAGTGTAAAGTTACTGCTTAAAAATAAATATAAGATCAACAGAGAAAATGGCACATAATTTTGGTTGATACTGTTGGCACATTTATTGATAGTGAAAATGCACTTCAGATTTTAAGCTGTTTTTCCCAAGCAGGTGTTTTGCAGATGTGCAGAAGTCCCCCACTGGCTGATACTGCCAGGTTACAGAACCTTGACTACAAGGTCTCTTGTGTGAAGAACAAGGTACCGCTTAAGGAACGCTATCTAGCAACATGTTCAATTACATTTTGCCCCTGATCTGTTGCATGTTTTCTTTTGCAGTCTCAAATATGTATGCTGTTTCACTCACTCGTCAGACAACATGGATGTTTAAGACAGAACAGATTGAAACTTCAAAAATTCCTGTCAAAATGTTATGTTTTCTACTTTAAAGTAGCTAGACCACATTGTTATTCCCAACATGTAAAGATGCTACAACTTGTTGCTCATAATCAGAGCACCCTCCCTAGAAATTCTGGGCGAAAGGCAAAGCTTCGTGTTATTTTTCTAACCGCAATTAAAGAACTCGTTGTCGATCACTGCTTCTCTTTAGTTCTATAATGTATTTGTTACGTGTACTATATAAGGTGTTCTTAAAGGTACAGTATATTCTCTCCTGTTATGAGCTACTTAAAGTTCCATGCCTCTCTGCTAGCTCCTCTTCTGATTGGGGTATCCAACACAACCCCCTTAGCTCTGATTGGCTGCGCCGACGCTGGGAAAACGTAGCGTGACACGTCACCCCTTCTCTCGCAACCCAGCCCTATCAGTCAAAAGGCGGCATCATTCTTTTCCGGGTGTTCTGTGGAGGCGAAGGCACCTGTTTGGCGCGCTGGTGATGACGACATCACCGCAGAGGCGAATCGGAAGCGGCCGTTTTCGTCGCACTGTCACAACCACGCCTCGCCTCTCCGCGGCCCCTCCCTTTCCACCCGTCGCTCTTAAAGGAGACACGCCCGGTTGTCGTTGACCCAGAAGGAGAGGCGGAGTCGAAAGGAGCTCTCTTTCCCTGGGCCTCCTTTCCTGTGGCAGGCGCGGAGCGCTCCGTTCAGAGCGAGGCTTCGGGGTCGAAGTATGCGCGTGAAAGGGGCGCGCGGAGGCTGTGGCTGCTGCTGCTTCGACTCCTCCGACCATGCAATGGCAGTCCTTAGTCTTGGCGCTGCTGGCGCTGCGGCTGGCCGGGCAGGCCCTTCTCTGGCTGGCGGGCCCCAGCCTGGGCTTCTACCAGCAGCGCTTCCGGGCTTTCTCGTGCGGCGGCGGCGGCGGCGGCAGCAGCCTGGCCAAGGAGAGCACCTCCCCGAACTCGCGGTGCCTCAAGCGCGGCTTGGTGGCCCCGCACTGGGCCTCTTTCCTGGGACGAGCTTGGGGAGGCGGTAATGGCGCCTCCGCCGGCGGAGGAGGAGGAGGAGGAGGGTTCAGCTCCTCTGGCGAAAGCGGCGGCGGGGAAGGCGGCCGTGACTACGACTACGAACAGCGCTATAGCCGGGCTTTCCCTCCTCAGCTCCGCGCCCAGCTCCGCGACGCCGCCCGCAGCATGTTCGTCTTCGGCTACGACAACTACATGGAGTACGCCTTTCCTCAGGACGAGCTGAACCCCATCGAGTGCCGCGGGAGGGGGCCCGACCGAGCCGACCCGTGAGTGGCCGCCGCGGGAAAGACAGGCGGGCCTGGCCGGGGCGGAGGGGAAAGGGGAGTCCAGGGGACGACGCAGTGGCCCTCTGGGTTTTCCTCACCCCCACAACCCCCCGGTTCTCTTGCGACCTTAGTGTGGGGTGATAGAAGAAGCGGCGGGGGGGGGGAGGGAGGGGGGGGGAGAGAGGGAGGGAGGCGCTCTCTCTAGGTATTGGGTGTCACTTCATTTTCGTCGCCTTTGGCTTCAAGCGGGGCGCGGGGAGGCGACTTGGCTTCAAAGACGAGCGTCGGAGGTGAACTAAAACCCGCAGAGGTCACTTTCCTGTACGTGGAGCAGAAAAGAAGATACTGAGGTGGGGGAAGAGGTCAAGATATGTGGGCAGAGTAAGTGGCTTAAAAAAAAAAAGAGTGTGAGGAAGTGAGTAGTATGAGCCAGATGTGGACCTGAGAAGAAGGGGTGGATGAGATTTTAGGAGAGGGGAAATCGAGAACAGCTAGAGCAGCAGCAGAAAGTAAACTGGAGTAAGAAACAGGGAGGTTTGAAAGGTGAAAAGGCCACATACCTTCAGAGAGATGAGAGACAGAGTATAGGGTAGAGAAAGGATTTACAGCATAAAGAATAAGCGCCAGGAGAGCAGAGGTGGAGGTAAGCTTGATTTTCACCCCATCATTCAGTTGGAGACATGTATTTCCAGTTTGAATTCATTAACATGCATTTACATTGACAACTGTCACTTAAGTGCCACATGTAGAAGCCCCTGTGTTTGACAGCCTCTAGACCAGTGGTTCTTAACCTTTGTTACTCAGGTGTTTTTGAACTGCAACTCCCAGAAACCCCAGCCAGCACAGCTGATGGTGAAAGCTTCTTGGAGTTGCAGTCCAAAAACATCTGAGTAACAAAGGTTAAGAACCAGTGCTCTAGACAACAGTGTCTTTTTCGTATAAGTTTAGAAACCAGATCTGTGTGTAGAAAGTAATAAAAACTAAGTGGAGGATGCCTGGATGTAGCAGTGAAAAGGAATACTATTCAGATAAACATGTGAAGTGGAAGCTTTAGATGAAAATAGGGACCTTCAGCAAGATAGAGGGAGCTGATGGGAAGACTGCTGGTAACAGTAAGCTTGTTGGTAAACTGAACATATTTTTTTCAAAACACTTAAGCTAAACAGAGAGCAGTAATGTCTTTTCTCAGCTCTTTTTTGTTACATTTCACAGTCTAAAAGTGTACTTAGTACAAATGTATTGTACAAGTGATGCCATCTTGCAGGTCGTTTGCTGTCCCAGAAAACCATGAGTTTGATGAGAATTGCATAAGTGTTGCCTCATTTCTCCCAGGGGGGCTGTAATCACCTCCAAAGTGAACCTTCTTTGTTTTTTCTAGATTATTGGCAACACTTTAGTTGCTCTTTGGGAGTTACTAATAGATTCTCTGAGCACCTTTGCCTTTTGCAATCATGCATGTACATTAACGCTGGTTTATCTTCACTCATGTTTGTACAGCTGCAACAGGCTTAAATGTCACATAGCGCTTTGGCTAACGCATATGCCCTATTCCTTGTACTTTTCTGCAAGTTGATTTAGAAGTGAGGTTTATGATGGCTTTTTAAAGAGGCTGTGCACATACTTAGTCTACACATAGCTAAGAACTGTTTTTGTCAAGTTCTGAACAGTGATTTATTTAACTCCCGCAAAGTAGAAAGGGTAATATTTTCAGTAGCATGAGACCCTTTGTATTCTCTGTCAGAATCAATAACATTTTGGCAGAGATAATTGTTTTAAATGTATACGTGAAGGTTCTGTTTTGCATTCGCTTACTTATAAAATGGTGACAGACAACAACATCAGTGGGATTTAGCTTAAAATTAATTGATTGTAGTTTTGGCACATCTGCCTTTTATGGGGAAAACTATCCAGCAATGATAATTCTATAAGACACCCCCATGTATACGATGCTCCCCACTTTTCTAACCCAAAATTAAGAAATCTAAGTGGGCTTAGCAAGTGGAGGGGAAAGCAGGGATCGAAGCTCTGCAGGATCACTTTGATCCCTGCTTCTCCCTCCACTTATTTTTGTTCTTTGCTCAGCTTACTTCCATGTATAAGAAGACCCTCAATTTTTAGTCTAAAGATTTTAAACAAAAGTATAGTCTTATACATGGAAAAATACGGTAACTTTCACTAAACATAGTATTTTATGCAAGTAAAGGAATTTCATCCTATGTCAAATAAAGTTACTTAATCTTATATGGACTTTACTCCTGCCAGTCCAGAACAGATCTGTTACTAAGGACATTCTGCATTCATGCTTAGGAGGAGTTTCATCATCATGGTTAATATTGTCAGTCTAGTGAAACATCAAAGCAAATGTTAAACACTTTTATAATGTATTTTTCCTATGTGGTCTGCCTCAGTTTTTCATGGTTCTTTGGCTTCAAAGAACAGTGTTCTTGTAGGAAGCCATCTGTTTCCCAAGGCACCTGTTCTTTCTATAATTTAGTACAAGAGGTTAACCATATTCAGCACTTTTGTCTTTTGAAATTTGAATAATTTATTTAAACCTTCAGAATTTCTTGAATTGTTCATGTTGACTGAAGACCCCTTAACTAAATATAGGATAATAATTTCAAGATATTTTTCTAACTTTATTCTAGTTTCTTAAGAGAAACTTCAAGCACAATGTTTTTATAAATACAGCTATCTACACGACTCTTTACTTTACAGTTTAATGTAATTCTAAAAAGAAATCAAAACTGCAAGAAATGCCAGTTATATAAAAGGCAAATATGAAACTTTTGTGTAAAATGCTATATCGGATGGCATTACTGTATGTTTCTGTGAAAAAAGGGAAATTTGAGCAATTGTGTAAGTGGTTTATATTAATTTATGTAGGTCTATCTTATGCTGTAGGGCTTAGAAAATAGGTGCCCTAAGAACCAAATTCTAAGTACAGGATATGTGTCTTCAAGAAAGAACTGTGCCTCTAACGAGTATGTCATCCTCACTTTTGAGGAAAGAAGTGACCATTTAAGACTGAATGGTGATTCGTGATTGCTGCAGTTGTAGCAAAAACTGTATTGTGAATATGTCTCTCTCTTTTTTTGTTATGCTGCACTTCACTTCTTTGCACCTTCGGCCAGAATCCAGTGGTGTGCTGGATCCGGTGGCTTCCAACAGAATGTCATCCTCCCCACAGCCCCTATGAATGCTGAAAACATGCTCAGGAGGGCTTGGTCTTTAGAGAAAAGATCTTTATTTGTACCCGAGTTCACTTATATCCTTTGTGACTACAAAGGACTCTCTGTGAGTGTTTGTGGGATCTCTGCCCTGATACGAAAGAAATTGGAAATACTTGAACATCCAGTTATGAGAGTCTTAATATCAAGGGCTGCAATGAGCCTGTGTATTTGACCTGGGAATACATCCTGTTTGTCTCCCAGATAAACATGCACAGGATCAGGTTGCATGATTTATAGATTACGTACTTGAAATAACTTTTGGAAAAGATTGGATAGAACTAACTTCTAACCAAATTTGTTTCAGTTCAAATCTGAATATCAATGATGTCCTGGGAAACTACTCGCTTACTCTGATCGATGCATTGGATACCCTAGCAGTGAGTTTAAAATGTTTTTTTAATTACTGGAAGAGAAAAAACCCAAATATTTTCAGTAGTTTCTAAGAGAGAGAAATTGTGCTGCAAATATCTCTATTAACAAGTCTTCCAACCTTTATCTCCAAGGGCAACTGAGAAGTAGTACAAAATCCTTTTCTGTAGCTGCACAAATGGCATGAATTTGTAGCCAAATTGTTCCAAGTTAAAAAATTGCAGTAGAAACTTTTGTTGTATGCTGCGTTGTGCAACAGATGAGGTCTATGGTGATTTCTTAACCTAAGGCAATTCACTTCCATAAATTATGCAATTTGTTTTATGCCGTCTTAACTAGACAGGTTTGGACCAGAGAGTGAAATATTCTGCTTTTCCCACTTTGTCCCAGTGAAGAGGTATTCTAAACAGACCACCTCACTATAAACCCTATTGTGATGTTATCTCTTCCTTGCAGTCTGAGCTCAAAGAAAAGAGACTCTTCTTCCAGAGTTCTAGAAACATTGTAGAGCACATGAGGATAATTTTCCTAGCTCTGGAAAGGCTAGGAAAATCAGGCTAGCTCTGAAAAGAGGAGAGACAGATGGTTTCAGTTAATGTCTGGTTTCAAAGTGAGAAGTGAAATAGATTCTGTTTTGTGCTAGAGCCACTGGGAGAAGGTCAATAGCAACCATGAATGGTTATGGTTGAAAGTGTAGGTGTCAAGACAGCCTTCCTATTCAGGAAGGTTATTGTGTAAAGTTATTGTGGCAAAAAAGCTAATTTCCTTTCTGTCGGGAATTCCCTGATGTCACTGCATACTGATTACTTGAACTCAAACAACAGTCTCTGTCCCATACCCTACATCAGAGATGGTCCGCAGCCCATTGCCGATCCATGGCCTGAGCTGGTCTGGGCTGTGGAGACAAACCTCCTGCCCCCCCGCATGCACTCACCCCCACACAGCTGATTTGTGCATGCACGTGTGCTTCAGCGTGCCTGTGCGAGTGCTACTGTTTGCGTATATGCCCAAGCGCCAGCGTGCCTGCACAAGCGTCACGCTGCCATTTGTGCATGCACGCACTCTTGTTTGTTCATGAGCACAGGGATGCCCTGCCTTCCCCAGCCAGTCTGCGGGGTGAAAAAGGTTGGGGACCCCTGCCCTACATTATATCTGTATCAGGAGCAATCAGAATCTGTTTCTAGCTTGGACAAAGAGCTACAGCTGTGTAAATGATTTTTTTTTTTTAAATTAGTCACTTATTTAAGTCCAGGGAAAGTTTTCTTAACATTTTTGAAGCTTGTATGGTGTGCATGTTTGTTGTAGTTCTGACTTATTTTACACAAATTGTTGCACTTAAATTCTAGTGCATGAGTCTCAGTCATTTTATTGTGCCAAAGTAGTTTATTACTTAGTTGGATTAGTGCATCTGATGGCTTAAAATATTCCTTGGTTTGAAGAAAGATGGATGAAAGAAATGAGTTTCTGAGATATTTCTTAACTACTGATATTTTTATTCTTTAGTTAAAATAATTTTAATAGTAGAAATTTGATTGTTGCATGTTTTCTGTCTTTAAAGGTAATGGGAAATTCTTCAGAATTCCATAAAGCGGTGAAACTAGTAATTGACACAGTATCATTTGACACTGATTCAACTGTTCAAGTCTTTGAGGCAACAATTAGGTAGGTTGTTGCTAAAAGTGATGGGAACACTGTATATGTTTTTGGAATTTCAGTTTGCTGACTCATTATTAATTTGTCAACTAACTTGCTTAATAAATAATTTTAGCAATTTCAAGAAACTAGAAAGCTAACTTATATTTGCTCACTGTCTGCCCAATTGAACACTCTATAATTGCTGTAATAAGATGGCATTTCAGAAGGGTGTTATAGAAGATTAAAAGGGCTGTATTATAGCTAGTAGGTTATAGACTTTATTTTAAACAAACACAATTCGGGAAGTAGAGTATTGTTTTAGGATCAGCTTTCTAATTGCAAATGGCCGTTTGAGTAAAAGTGCAGAGATGCACGCACACACCTTCTAGTCTCTCTGCAATTGCATGAGGCCCAAATTTGGGAAGATTCAGCTTATCTCACTTCATACTTGAGTGGTTTTATGTATGATCTGAAGAGAAATTGGGTACAAAAGGAGGACTTGCAGTTAGGGGAGAATGCAAACATGTAGAAATTCTATGAAATTAGAAACTTTTTTGCATCCTGGTGAATGCTATATTCTCTGTTATTAATCATTTTGTTGCATGCTACATTCTTCACACATGACAATTTCCTAGTGCTTTGTAGTGTAGCTCAGCCAAAGCAGCCATTACCAATATTTATCAATGATGGAAATTGTAGCCTGTTACATTTGGATTGATAGGAAAACCAGTGAGGCTGTAGGTTACTGTTAAATGCCTAAACCTGTACAATACCAGCTCTTGTCTCAGTTTAGAAATATTTGAAGTAGTATGACAGATTACATTAGCTAGTAGTGTCTTAAGCCTCTTTAGGAGTGAACTAATTGCTCTCTCAGCTTGTTCCAGGATTAGAGTTGATTTAGCTCAGTCCAGTCCAGTACTTGAAACTAGAGACATTGGCGTATTCTGGCAATATAAGACCACTAATGTCCTTGTCCAGGATAGATTAGCACCTTAGCTCTTCCTGTTCTTATTGCTGAGTAAATTGTGTGGTAGAGATGAATGAAACTACTTTGTGATTTATATTATGTTCATCAACATGAAACATTTGTATGAAGAGCCTGTATTTTCCACATCTCAGGGTAGGGACAGTCAATTCTATGACAGCGTAATAAACAGACAGATATAGTCCTCAGCAAAGGAAACATCTAACGCAAATTTCTGTGAGAATAGCAACATTTTTGTTCAGCATTGAAATGACTGCAGCATTATCGAATGGATAAATGTGGCATTCTCTACATAGTTATCGTAAGGTGCAAACTAAGTCAAAACAGCATGTAGTTGTTAACTCAACAGTGCATCATCAATCAACATGAACAAAGCCTTCAGCTGCAATCCTGTTTTGCAGTCCTTCAGAATAAAACTTCACATGGCATTGATGATTTGACCATTATCAGATAAATATACGAAACTCTTAACATTTCAGAAATATTTGTGGATCCAAAATTCTCCAAAAGAGCAAATTGTATACAATATATAAGTTGTTTCTGTACCAGAATTCTTCATTCTGTCGCATGGTTTTGAGACAGAGGCATTTGTTTAGATGTTCACTCCCAAACCACTTAAGGCTTTAAAGGTGAGCACTGTCGCCTTGAATGGCCTGGGAGTTAATAGGCATTCAACTAAGTCACGGTTGGTGTAATAAGCACATGCTGATGAAACCAGTTGAAATCGAGACTAATCTTTCTATTCATCCTCCACTTTCTATTGGTCTTCCATGGAGACTCTTGCAGAGTAAGCCAAATAAATAAATAAATCGATTGCATTGCATCCAGGAAATTACAAGAGCATGGATCACAACAGTTGAACTATCCTTGTTCAAAAATGACTGCAACCAATGAGGGAGCTATAGTTGGCATGGTCCATTGGGTTGGATTTGAATTTAATCGTATTTAAACTTGGATGCATTGAAATCAGTGGGATTTAACAGTGATTGTAGGAAACTTGGTATGTAATTGACAACACACATGCTCTGAGTTTTGCACTGTAAACAAACTGATGAGAAAGAGTTTTACAAAAAGATTAAGATTCTCTTTACATATCTTACAGCCTTCCAAATAAAAGACTTGATGAACACTGTACCTTCTTTTAAACATTACTGTAACTTTGCAATCTTACATTATAGGTACACATACTGTAGCAAGTGAAAGAGAGGGGTATACTTTTAATTGGACCATTACAAAAATAAACAAATAGCAAACTTTTGTGGATGAAAGTCTGAGGAAGTAGATTTCATCCACAAAAGTTTACAATTTGTTTTTTATCGTAATGGTCCAATAAAAGGTATAACCCTCTCTTGATTAGTGACTCTTCGGAGCCACATGACCTTTTCCTTGTACTTCATGTAGCAAGTTTTTCATTGTTTCTTCAAATCAATCTTTTTTTCTTGCAGAGTTTTAGGAAGTTTGCTTTCATCCCACATAATAATCACAGATGCCAGGCAGCCTTTTGGTGATATGAGTATTAAGGGCTATGATAATGAACTCTTGCATATGGCTCATGACCTAGCAGTAAGGCTCTTACCTGCTTTTGAAAACACCAAAACTGGAATTCCTTATCCTCGGGTATGTATACCATTGCAGCCCATTTTCAGGCATCTTGCTTTTGTCCTCCTTTAACATTACAACTTCCTTATTTAGATATGTCTTACATATTAAGGAACCTGCTCAAAGCTTTTTATGTAACAACCAACAGCATGACTGGTTTGATATTTTTGCCTCTGGTGCAAAGAGGTATCAGTGCCATATTATACAGGTGGAAATCATGTATGCCTTATGACTTTTGTGACTCACACATGTGAGTCTTGTGCCTGTGCAGAGTGATTTTGTCACCTGTTCTTTTCTCACTGATTTCTGCTTACATAACAGAGATCCCTTGTCACTGGGCCAGCAGGGTTTTTTGCTCTGCTGGTGTTCAGTAGGTCCCCTCCTGAACATTTAGATACTAATTGTAAAGGTTTCAAGAAATTCTCCTTACAAATCAGAATTTTGCCTGTTTCCAGACCTACCTTCTCACGGTAATGCAAACAAGATGTGTAGCTGAATGGCCCACTGCTCATGTATGAATCTGGGCTTGGAATAGGCTTGTTTTGTAAAAGACTCACCAAGTAAAGTGATAACTTTTTCAACATGCAATTTCAAGTTGGGGATTTTGGTTCTTTTGCTGACTTGCTGTTTACCTGCCTAATGTCAAATCTGAGTACCCTATTAGGAAAGTTTCCCTGTGGAATATGATGCAATTTAGTGACAGAGCACTGATGAAACTCATGAGTCATTTTTAACATTTGCATTTGATTGCAAATTGAATAGAAAGCTTAAAGTCTAGGAAAGGTAAAAATGTAGCTGACTTCTGAAAAGGCTTATATGGAAATCATGTCTTTGCAGGTAAATCTAAGAACGGGAGTTCCTTCCGGAAGCAATAATGAGACTTGCACTGCAGGAGCTGGATCATTACTGGTGGAATTCGGAATTCTGAGTCGGCTTCTTGGAGATTCAACTTTTGAATGGGTTGCTCGCCGAGCTGTGAAAGCGCTCTGGAATTTAAGGAGTAATGACACTGGATTATTAGGTATTTAACTTGTATTTGATGGATTTACTCAATAAGGGAAGCCATGTCCTTAAATTTGCGAGAGTTAAGCAGAGTTCTTAAGAGGAGATTTTGGAGGTCACTCGCTTATGTTGTCACCATACGTCGGAGGTGACTTGATGGCACAAAACAGCAGTTTGTATTTTGATGTCCTGTGTAATTAAGGACAGAATATTTTCTTGTGTTTTTTATAGCCTCATGTTATGTACTGATAATAGCTATTAAGGCGAAAGAGTGTCTTTGATCACTGAAGTAACAGTAGCACCAGAACATTTCCATTTTTACACTGGGATCTTAGAACTCAGAGTTACCTAGGAATTTTCCATCTTAGATTGAATATTATGCTATGTCATTTTACAAGGTCATGTTTATATCTAAACTTTATATAGTAATCCTTTTACATAACTGCTGTCTTAATATGCTGCAAAAGAAGATTGTTTTCCTTTAATTTTTATATGAGGTTTATAATGGAATCAAATAAGGTAATAGCTTTCCTATGCCACATAATTCATTGGAGGCAAAAAACCCACAGCTCTGTATTTCGAAGAAGTAATTTTATCTGCATCTTTTATATATGTGCCTGCATTCATGTGTTCAGAAACTGTGTTTACAGATATCTCTGTCCTGACAGTTCTGTTAACTCTTGAGTTCACAAAGCAGTATTGGCTTTAAGCTTCAGAGGACTTGAGAGGCCTGAACTGAGAATAAATACCCGCCCTTTTTAGAATTCAAGAGTTCTGAAGAACAGCGATACTGAGGAGGGAGCTTCAAATAAATATGTCAATTTATCTTCTTCAGTAAATCTACTTAATTTCAATTCTAATATTAAATTGATTTTTTTTCATGAATGCAGTTGCTTCTAGTCAGATATTTTCTGCCAGTAGCTTGAAAATATTTTTGCCCTAGAATCTAATGTTGTCTACCTTGCTTTATTAGTAAGAGTCATCTTGAACTGTTGCTTGATTTAGACATGTATATATGTAACATTCAAATGTACATACTTAAGTGCATATGTGCAAATATTTCTGGAGTATGTGTGCAAAATATACATCTTAGGAATCTCAACATTATTTCCCTTTTTTGTTATTGGTGACTCACATTCACCATGTGTTGCCTCTTTGACCTGCAAGCTATAGCTCCCTTCAGTTAATGCTTTTCTCCACTTTTAACAGCCCCATGCCCCGGTTGTATAATGTGTGAACTTCTAGCTTTCTAGATGCTCAGCTGATTTTCAGATTTCTGATAGTTGATTTCTGAAGATCTGTATACTGTATATGCATATTCAAGGGCTTTCCTGAGTCATAATAGCGGAAGACCTGTGTGTTTTCTAAAAGAGCATGACCAGGACAATATAGTACCTTGTTCATATTAAGTCATAAAATTACACATTGAAATTTGCACACAATGCACATTTCTTATTTGAATAGAAAAACTCGCATTCCTATTTAGCATTTACACCATTATAAAAGTATTTATGGAAGTTACAGTCATTGCAGTGTATCCCAACCATGACTGAAAGTGTTTCCAATCAAGCAGTTTTTTGTGGACAGAAATGAGAAGGCAGTTTTTGTTGATTATCCATTCTCTTTGTAACTCCTTGGATTTTCCCACATCTGCTGCAAATAGTGGGGAATCCTTTGGAACTGTATGGAAGGTGGTGCAAAGGGCTACAGAAGACAGCTAGAATTCACAAAAATTATCTCCTGCACCCATCACAGAAGTTAGCTGGTCACTCAATGAATATATCTGTGGATATTAGTGGTTTATTAAAGTTAATGATGCTGTGAGCTAGTCAGAATAGTGAATCTGTCAAGCCTATATATTAAAATAAAAAAAATTTTTTTGGGGAGGAATGTAATAGTAGCAGTTTGCCTGATTCACATGCATTGTTTTGTCATTAACAGCAGTTTGGTGCATGCATGTGAGTGGTGTAGCTGAACAGCAAAATTTCAGTAAAAATACTGCTAGAGAAATGTTATAGGAAGGCAATGGAAACATTACAAGTAACGGCAATTACTTTGTCTAAAAGTGTAGCACAGGGGACAAGGCCTACTGCCGAAACCTTTTCCACCATATGTCTATTCCTGTTAGACATTCTGTAAAAGACTGAATCTCCCCCTGTGAGCCTACTAGGAAATTAAGATAATCAGATGAGACCTTTCTCTTGGTCCCACCATCCTCACAGGTGCAGTTGGTGGGGGCATGGGAGAGGGCCATATCTGGTGCTGCTTCCATACTCTGGAACTCCCTCCCATGGGAAGCTAGGCTGCCCTATATTTGCTGCATTTCTGCAATCAGGCAAAAACCTTTCTCTTCAGGCAGGGTTTTCTTTAGTGACTGGCAGCCTGAGAGGGATTTTGTTTTTCATCATCATCATTATCATCATCACTATCTTAGATCTTCAGAGCTGGAAGGGACCCTATTGCTCATTGAGTCCTACCCCTGTCAAAGAGGCACAGTGGGGACTCCAACTCCCAGCATCTGGCTCCACAGCCAGATCCATAAACCACTGAGCTGCCGAGCAGTTCTTCACTTTCATGAGTAATGGTATTGATGAGATGCCAGTGGAGAAATTTCTTTGCTGGAGGTGCTTGTGATGTTTCTAGGTAACGGTACAAAGGATTGCAAATTATGCTTTTGAAAGTCTTCCTATTTGGGATGGATTTTGCATTAGGTATAATGCTTGACTTTTATGCTGGTGCCCTATTGAATGTGTTTCAAATAATTTGACAATATCTGTATTGCATTGTATGTGAATTTTATGTCCCTGGGGTACATGGTCAGCTGATTTGTTATAAATGAAATACATATGTATCATATACTTAGATAGCCATTGTTCCTGTTTATGCTTTGTTATAGGTAATGTAGTGAACATACAGACTGGTCACTGGGTTGGAAAGCAGAGCGGTTTGGGAGCAGGATTAGACTCTTTCTATGAGTATCTTTTAAAATCCTACATCCTTTTTGGAGAAAAAGAAGACCTTGATATGTTCAATGATGCTTATCGGAGTATTCAGAACTACCTAAGGCGAGGGTAGGTAATGTGTAGTTGTGATTTTTAAGAGGATGCAGCACTAATGCAGTTTGAATGAATAGATTGAGTTCTTTTTACTATCATGCAGGTTTTCTTAAGGATAAGTGTCTGTACGTCCTCATTCAATCCATATTGCAACTCTTTTGGAAACAGTGGTTTACTACCGCTGCAAAATAGCGATTAGGAATCTGTTCCTCCAAGTATCTTGTTGGACCTGCCATTTGTTATGATGCACATACCACACCAACTTACAACTGTAGTTTAGTGTGTATAACTGAAACAATGCACATTTTATCTTTGTTTGCCTCCTCTTTGCTTTCTTTTTGTCTTGTCCTGTGTCAAGTCATAGGTTATAAGCTATGAAGGTAGAAAACAGTTTTCTGGGGCTTCATAGGACTTCATGCATATCAATGCTGTATAGATAATAATTAAAATAATTTAAGTAAAAAACACACTTTATAGTTTGCTGTGTAGTTTCCTTCACTGGGTAAAAGTCATATCACATACTTATTTTGATGCCTTTTGTTAGCATTTAAATGTGTGTGCTTTTAATTTTCCTCTCATTCAGGACTTGAAATTACAGTACAGTTGTCTTTCAGATGGATCATTTTAAAAGTGAAAATGTGTTCAAATGTTGCTAAATTGTTTTATAAACCAACTCTCTGAAAATCAAGCAATATTCTAGCATCATGGAAATTATAGTTAGCAAAGATCTAAATATCTATTCCCTGTTACTCAGTTTCTGTGCCCTATCCTTAATTCTAATACATGTACTACTTGGTTTTAAATCAAAGCTTTTTTATTCTTTTAGACGAGAAGCCTGTAATGAAGGTGAAGGGGACCCACCACTCTATGTTAATGTAAATATGTTCAGTGGGCAGTTAATGAACACCTGGATTGATTCTCTTCAAGCTTTTTTCCCTGGGCTTCAGGTAATTTTGCTGTAGAAACCCTTGAAATATATGCATTGCAGTAGAAGCTTTCCTTTCCAAATAAAACAATTTTTTGTTGTTCTTTAATACAAAATGTACGTCTGTATAGTGAAGGTCCCATACACATGAATCTTAGCTTGCATCAGCACAACCCAACATGGAAGTAGAGTACTGATAAAACTGCCATTTCATCACCATGCATGTGCATATGCACAGTTCATATTCATTATTAATCTTCATTTCACGTGAAAAGCAGATTAGCACAAATAGAGCATTGGGGTGCCTAGCAGCTGCTCAACATGAGGTCGCTAGTAGATATTGCCAAGGACAGCGTATGAAAAGCAGATTAGCACAAATAGAGCATTGAGGTGCCTAGCAGCTGCTCAGCATTTCATGAGGTCGCTAGTAGATATCGCCAAGGACAGCGTACGACTATTGACAAGAGGGATTGTGTTGTATTTCAAGGTTCTTTCGCTATTTACTCTTCTGTCAAAATCCTCAGTGTCTCTGTTCTGTGGTCACAAAAGGCATTGAATGGTTCGGCTTGGGATTAGATTCAGTGGCATTAAAATGTCATTTTTTTTACAAAGGATATTCTGTGGAATGTTTCCATCACTTGTAAAGTGCCTCTGGTCTGAAGGTCAACTGTAGTGTTTCTGTGTGCTTCAAATTAGCCAGGAGTTTCTTTGCTGGGCGACCTCATGCCATATGACATAGCTTTGGTGTAGCATTTTCAAACACTAATCTTGTTTTCAATCAATATTGAACTATGTTGTTCTTAAACCAGCTAGAGAGGCTGTCTGGCAGTAAATGATGATAATGTGGGCAATGCTGTAACCCCTGATTCATAGGTTTGTGGATCCAGGCAGCTGCAGTCCATCAGTAGATTAAATATATCTATTGAAGTAAGGATATTGTCTGTTCCATCAGAAGTGAGCTATCCTTTGTATGATCTTTCACCTTTCTTGTTTCTCTTCAGGTTCTAATAGGCGATGTGGAAGATGCCATTTGCCTCCATGCATTTTATTATGCAATATGGAAACGGTATGGAGCTCTTCCAGAGAGGTACAACTGGCAATTACAGACACCTGATGTCCTTTTTTACCCCTTAAGACCAGAGTTAGTAGAATCTACATACCTTCTTTATCAGGTATTGAGTGTTTTTTTAAAAAAATGTTTTATGAGGATTATATTATTTTAATAAGTTATTCAGCTTTATCCTACTTGAGAGATGTCCAAAATAAGCTATTTTTATTGGAGAACTGAATTTGCTGTCGTGCTTACCAGATGATTTTCTCTATTTGTGACAAACATTTTACATTTTAACCGGCTTGAATAGAAGAGCCGGTCTCTGCAGTTTTTGGCAGGCTGCATAGTCTGATGGTACTTTCAGAAGAACATATAAACTACATGTGAATACTCTCTATCTAGAAAACCCTCAGGAGGCTTGCTATACATTGGAATTGATTTGGTGGCATGTAATTATTATTCATATGTGTCAAAAATAAAAATATAGATGTAACTTTAGACTAAAAGGATGGCTGCTAGCATCATGCTGTTAGAAGAGATTTCAAAGAAGCCAATTTTTTCTGCCTCCACCTTGAAAACGCAAAAGCTGCCAGAAATACTGGGCAGGGAACCTTCCCAAATGGGAGGATCCATGGCATATTGTGTTTACAAGGGATTCCTTGAAAGTTAGATATATGCACTTTATGCAGGGATGGCTCTGCTTCAATTTGTGGCAGTTGATAAGGGAAGCAAGGATGGGAAAGTTAATTTCCTGGGATTTCCTTCAACCAGTGTGATGCTAGATGTTGTCCTGAGATTTCTTAGTGAATCTGAAAGCTCAAAATCAGCTGGATTGGACTTTAAGGGTGTGCTGTTCTGTGCTTTGGATTACAGCCCACAGAAATTCTGCAATAAGTCTGCAGTTGCAGAAATTTTGAAGAATTCTGGCTTGCATTCCAAAAACATGAAAGAGCACATTCTTGATTTATTCTGTAGGAAAAGCATTGATTAAAATATATTGTGAATTGTGCATTTTTAGTTATATTGCTAATAGTCTCCCTCGTTTTCCATGCTATGTGACAAAGCCCGTTTTAAACTGAAGGGACTTCTGAATAATGTATTATGGTGCAAGCTTAGGGAACAGTTATGTGCCATCAAGTCAAAATTGACTTACAGCGACCCTAATAGAGTCTTCAAGGTAAGTGAAATATTTAAGGCAGGGGTCTCAAACTCAATTGACCTGGGGGCCACTGGAGGCAGAGTCTGGGTGAGGCTGGGCCGCATCAGATTTTTCGCGGAGCAAGAGCCCGAGGAAGCCAGCCAGGAGTTTCCTTAGCCTGGTTGGGGCTCCGAGGAGAAGACGGAGGAGGGGCATGTGAGCCCTTGTCTCCTGCCACGATCCCCTCCGGCTCCTTCTTCACTACCACCACTACCAGCAGGACGAAGAAGCGGAGAAGGGAGGGAGTGCTGGCAACCGTCTAGTGGGGGGCAGGAGGGCACAACATAAAAAAAATTTAAAAACCCTCACAGAATTTGCCTTGCCAAAGGACAAAAGCCTCCACTGGTACCCACGGAATTAAACAGAACGGGGCACACACCCCACTGGTGCGCGCATGCACACACAAACGGAGGTCCGTCAACCTTCCTCTGAGGGCCCCCCTCAAAAAAAGTGCACTCAGCAGCAGCAGCTACCCCCACCACGACAGAGGAGCAAACTTCGCGAGGCGAGCCCAGGCAGCCTCCAGAGCCGAGGCAGCTGAAGCAGAACGAAGAGGAGGAGGAGGAAGCACCACTGGGCGCTGAGGCGGTCACTGGCTGGGCTGGTGCTGGGGGTGCCGAGAGAGAAAAAGAGCCGCTTCCCTGGAAGAGGCGGTGGCAGCGGCAGCTGCTGTTGGTGACTTGGAGTCGCTTTGGCTGACAGGCTGCGGACTGCAGTTCCGGATGGAGGGTGCAAGAGGCACTGTCTTGGGAGAGAGCCAGCAAGTGAGGCGAGGCTTTTTTGATTCTTGACAGCAGACAATGTGTGGGTGCTTGGGGGGGGCAGGCAAGGCAGGAGCCACAGACTATTATCCAGCGGGCCGCAAATGGTCCTCAGGCTGCATGTTTGAGACCCCTGATTTAAGGTGTGATCTTACCAGTTACACCTGGTCTGGCAGTAAGTTCCCATAATTAAATGAGGGTTAGAAGCTAGGCCTCTTGAGTCCTAGTCACTCTATCCACTACACCACAGTTGATATCCCTAGGGAGCAATCTGGTTCACATATGGTTAGTGAGAAAATTCAAATGAGAATCACCTATGATTTCTGATCACAGTTTGTTCACTAACAGGAAACTGTACTGTTTTAATTCCACTGCTTTGCATGTTTTGTTTGGTTGGTCTTTATTTTACTTCGTACAGCTTTATTTTAAAAAATCTACTTTTTTTCTTTATCCAGGCCACAAAGAATCCTTTTTATCTTCATGTAGGAATGGACATTCTTCAGAGTCTGGAGAAACATACAAAAGCAAAGTTAGTACTGCATTTAACGTACAGTACATATAAAGATAAGCATGTTTTTGAGTCATGCTTGTGTATGGAATGTATGTTTTATCTACTGCTAAACCCAGCACAACATTGCAAATGAGTTTTTGCTGCTGTTGGATTTCACAGTCAACTAGTACTTTCTGCTCTGCACCATGCAAAGTAATTTTTTCAAATGTGATTGCTTGTTTCTGCTGAAATTTACAGAGTACCAGCTCTTTCACCCTCTTCCCTGACTTCTCCCATGCATAAAGGTTGCAAATGAGGGCTGCCTTCTTCTCTAAATTGCAGAAATGATCTGCAAGCATTTAAACTCCACCTCTTTTCTTGCTGCTGATCCGCTCATTACACTTTCTGGAACCTGAAAATGAAACTTTTCCAGCTTTGGAAAGTTCCTACCTGCCAGAAAACAAATCTGCTATCATCTTGGTGTCAGGCAGGTGGTTTTATGTACAGCTGTATCTGAAACCACATTTTGAAGATGGCTTCTAAGAGGACAGTTTTTAATATGAAGTGGTTAGATTTCAAACTTCATTCTGGCTTTGTTCCATGGCTATCACCAGTTGCTGGAGACAAATCCAAAGGATATTGTAAAGTGTGCTACCACAGCTTTGAGCTAAGTACCGTATTTTTCGCTCTATAAGACGCACCTTTCCATAAGACGCACTGATTTTTTAGGAGAAGAAAACAGGAAAATATAATCTGTTTTCTTCGCTCCATAAGATGCACAGACTTTCTACCCCCCTGTTTTGTGGGAAAAAAGTGAGTCTTATGGTGCAAAAAATTAAGTAATATGGGAATTAGACCTGTGGAGTCTCGTGCACAAGGACCATTACATCAGAAGAACCTGAAAATTCAGTATGTTTAGGTTCAAAGCCAAGAAGAAGTTCAGATAGTAAAACCATAGAGGGTGAAGAGTCAGGCCCTGCAATAAATGGAAAACATGATCAGAGTGATGAAAATGGGAAAGAATTACCAACCCCGCAAGCTAGTATACTGTAGCTGCCTATCAGGCACTGTGTTCGGGCAACAGAGTGTCTGTGGGCTTTGCAACTGTTGATGAAGATGTAATTTAACTCTTGTAACAACATCAGTGAGTTATTCAAGCGAAAGTTCTCAGATAGCTCAACAGTTTCATCTTGGAAAAACAAAAGCAATTACGTTGTTGCTTTTGGCTTGGCCCCATAGTTCTCTGATGTTTTACAGAAACAGCTGAAACAATGCCAAATATTTAATATTTGTTTTGATGAAGCTCTGCATAAGGTGGTTCAAAAGGGATATGTAGATTTAGTGGTTCGTTTTGGGGATGACTACTGTCCTAAAATTTCCACATGGCGTGTAACCAGTGTTTTTCTCCAAATGGCTACTGCTGAAGACCTTCTTCAGAAGCTTCAAGAAGGCATGTCTTGTTTATCAGTTGCAAAATTATTACAAGTATCTATGGATGGGCCCAGTGTCAATCACCTTTTTCTAAGAAAACTAAAAGAAGAAATTAAAACCAATCTTGACTATAAAAGAGAAGGAAAAGAACTGATTGACTTTGGAACTTGTACCTTTCATGTTGTACATGGGTCTTTTAAAATAGGATTGGTAAATGTTGGTCAGGGAAGGTCAGAAATGAAAAATAAAATTTCAGTGGCAAGTCTGCTTTAGCATGAATTCTACTATATTTGGCAGTTCTGGACAAAAATGCTTATTTTTGATTATTGATTTTATTTCATTTAAATGGGCAGGAGAACAATTTGGGCTGCAGTCATGTGCATACTTGCATTGGAGCAAGTCCTATTGATCTCATATTTATTTCTGAGTAAATATGCATTTAATTGTACTGCTTGATTGTAAAATTTAGAAATACCATGGGGTCGATCCAGAGAATCATACAGCTTTACCCTTCTCCTGAGAGATGTTCTACTTGTATTTTTTTAAAATAATAGCCCCTTGTCACATTGCATATATCACATCTATTCAGAATATACTTTGTATTCTGCTTATTAGCCAAAATTATTGAGGTGCCTTATAAAGCACTTAAGTTAAATCAGATAATCAAAAATTGAGTTAATAGGGGAGAGTTTTTATACTTCTCCCTTTTGTGCATTTTAACTGTCACTTCACAGCTCAGTATCTGAGCCATAGCAGTTCGTGGAGGAAACAGCCTAGGTCTGGAAGATGGCTAGAGCAACCAGGTGTTAGTTCTTTACAAGGCAAACTTATTCATTGGATTTTGTGTTTGTTACCTTTTGTAACTGCAGCGCTTTATAAAAAGTCTCATGTGTCCATGAAGGGTGTTCAGAGGAGAAACGGGTCTTGGGTACATATGAAAGAGCCTAAGAACCGTTCTCTGTGTCATGCCTTTGTAGGAGAGAAATTAAGGAACTTCGTTTATCTATTATTCAGCAGGCACAAACTCTATAGAACTGTGATATGAGCATCAATGATGCCCTCAAGTATTGTGAGGTCTGCATAGTTGATGTATTTAGCTATGGGTCCTACCTGAACTGGTGGGAGTATCTCCCTTTCAAATAGAACAGCTTGAGTCTAGAAAGAAAGAAAAAAGAAGCAAGGATTGTCAATTATTATATCAGATCTGGTAACTCTTAAAGGCACTGTAAAATGGTAGACATATGGTTATTGCTCTTGGGTCTCCTATTTATCAATCCAAACTTATATCTTTAGTATAACAGAGTAAAAACCTTAATACTCAAACTTAAACCAGCAGCCAATTTTATGTGATCTGTGTCAAATTGCTAGCTTAATTCTTATCTATTAGGGACATTTCTTGTAGTAGGTGAGATTAGGAAAAAAAGAGGATCAATAAAAAATTTCAAATTCTTCTTTCAGATGTGGTTATGCTACTCTTCACCATGTCATAGAGAAGTCCAAAGAAGATCGAATGGAAAGCTTTTTTCTCAGTGAAACATGTAAATATTTGTATTTGGTATGTATTGTTTGAACCTTTATTTTAAAAAACAGTTAAGTTTCTTTGCTCGAACTGTATCATTCAGTTGATGATTCATGATGTAATTTTTATTTATGCTTTTGTAATAATATATACGTACTTAAGGTCTATTTCTGTATTTTGGAAACATTTTATGGCGTTTCACTTTAGGGTTATTATCTCAGATCTTTCACCTGGGCAATTCAATTTAACAAAAGTGTTGTCGTATGTTACATGAAATATGAAAAATCAAGGATATATGAAGTATTTTCTGTTTCAGCTATTTGATGAAGAAAACCCTGTGCACAAATCAGGCAATAGGTACATGTTTACTACGGAAGGTCACATTGTTTCACTGGATAAGCGCCTTCGTGTTCCATTGTGGCAAGATACTTTCCCAGAAGCGCAGAAGAAATCTGAAAAACTAAAGCCTAATGAGCTACGAACAATTAACTCTACTTCTAATGTAAGTATGAATGAGTGCTGTATCCCATTTGTGTACAGCAATTCTCTTTACACTATGACTGTATAATAACTCTGATGAATGGCAGACCATTTTGCTAAAGCAGTCTTAAAATATACACCAACCTAAACAGAAGAGGATGTCTGTTTTTTGGCATCTGTTTTGATTCTTCTTTATATGAATCATAGTGGGAATTGAAATAATAATTACACTATAAAATTACTAATAATGTTTGACAGTGCCCATCAAAGTTTCTATTAGGCTGTATAAAAAAACATATTTTTTAGCTTTGTTTAGGTAGAAAAATGTTTAGAAGACAATTTCAAAATACCAATTTTCAGCCTGGATAAAGGTGAACATTTCGTATGTGAAGGTATTAGGAGCAAACTAGCTTAAGCATGATATTTTCCTAAGCCTGGTTATTTCATATACACAGTAGAAACACTGGTTTTCTTTCTAGTTGAGGACTGAGACATGCAGGCAGATAAAAAGCAAAATGCTGAGGGGAAAACAGACTCATTAGTAATCCTGTCATTATCTTGATATCCTAATGCATTATACAATTGAGTTGGGAATATTCTGTAGGATTCATACAGTTTGTATCCATCCTAAAGGTAGTATATATTTATTATCAAACCATTCCTAACAGATTTCTGTACAGCTGGTTTCATTTTTAGTCTCTACTGGGAATGTTCTTGCAGCTGCACTTGACAAAGTCTTGGCATTCCCTGATGTATAGCCTGACTTTGTGACTTCTCAGTGCATTTCTTTTCTGTATTCTTGTGGAAAGGACACCTCCCTTTTACACTGACACCTATATCAAGTGCATATAGAGTGGAGCCTGCAGGCCCCATGCAAAACCAGATCCTACTGGATCTCCCTGCCACCTTGTTAAACAAACCAGATGTGACCACACACTGAAGTGTGAGTGAGGTGAAGAATGGTCCCTGGACCATCAGACATTAGTCACTCCTGCACTAAATGTAAAACATGTCATTGCTTCAGTTTTCCTTCCTTTTTGATTTGTTTTTCAAAGACAGTCAATAGCTTATTTTTATCTGCAGTTTCAAATCCTCTTTGAACTAATGTGACTGCAGCTGAGTGCATTATTTATTTTTCTGAGCAGGTAGACCTGCTCAGTTACTACCTTCTGGCAAGAACCTAATGTTTTCTTATATGTTGGCACCCACCTTGCTATTTCTGTGGAAAGAGTTTGTTAATTTACCTGAACAAAAACATATGGGGTTCAGGTAGCCACAAAGATGTTGTGTTCAGGTATATACTACCACATTCTTTCACTCTTTCTCCTAGTGGTAATAAGGAGAGATGTGTGCCTGACCAAGGTTATACAAGCTTGATTCCCACCTCCACTCCACACCTGGAATTATAACGGTTGAACAGGTTGAAACTGAAAGGGATTTTGTTTCTCTGAAAGCTGTAAGAATTAATTTTGGATCACTTCAAAAGTAAAGCTTTCAGTACTGGGGAGAATTTTTCAGTCTCTCCTGGAGATGTGATGGGGTCACCTTTGTATTTGTTTTGAAAAGAAAGCTTTCAGATCTCAAGCTGTTGCAAAGAAGTAAATAAGCATGTTTTTCTGAGACAAGTCCTGTTATTGGCAGACACTATCTGTAATAATGAATCTGCATCTTTGAAAATGATGCAGGAATACTCTGTGACTGTATGCCTTGTCAAAATTTCATCTTTTAAACTATATCTCCTTCTGTTCGCAGTGCAACAGAGTACCCGATGAGAGGAGATACCTGCTACCTTTGAAGAGCATTTATATGAGACAGATTGATCAGATGGTGGGCTTGATATGAACAACTTTTCTTGCGGAGTAATCCTTTAAACATGCAGGGGAACGTCCTGTTCTAAAAATGATGCTCCTCTTGAGCTACATAGCTTGGAGCAGGTGCAAGAGCCCAAGTAGCCACTCATTTTAATGAAGGATTAAGTTTTATGTTGAAAAAAGTGATCTGATGTTAGACCGCAGTTGTAACTGAAGCGGAGTCTAAAGTGGCACATTCAGTATAATGTGAGCCAAATTCTTATTTGTGAAAGTTCAATCTTTATATTGCTGAGGAAGACTTGATAGTCTGAAATTGCTTTAAAAAGGAGTGCAAATGGCTTGCTTTGCCACCATCTCTTACTTTGTGTCTGAAATGAGATAAAGAATTTAGAATTTTAAATATGCTTCTTTAAAAGGTAGGAAGAGGGTTGTGGAGGAGAGAAAAGGGAACATGCAATCTCTCTCACCAAGCTTGATTGCCTCTTTCACCAGCAATAAACAGTACAAATTATTGCTCAGGTAGGAAAATGTCAGTAGGTTCTGGTTTACTCAAAATGGCTTCCTGAAAATGACATGGCTTGTAATACCAGTTAAAGTATGGCATCACTATGTGGGGGCTAACATCTAGAACAATATTGAAAAAAGTGTTCCTAATTTGAATTGAACATTCAAGGATGTATATAGAGTTTACTAATTTTGGAAACCAGCGATTTTTAAAAAGGTGCCTTCTGGTAGGTGAAAATGCACAAAACCACTCATCTCACTGACTTGATGACCTTGCATTGCTGATTTTGAACACATTCACAACATTCTTCTGTTTGTATTTATCTTCTTATTTGTGCCTCTCTGGGAGATCTTCCTGAACTAATACAGGATCCAAGTATTTACATTCCTTGTAGTTCTAATATGCAAGCTTTGGTGTTAGTGCCTTCTTACTGTGTCATTCAGAATGGAGTCAACAGTTGATCTTTTCCTTTTCTAAAAGACATAACCTTTTAAAATAATTCCCTGCTCAAGGATTATACACAATTCAAAGTTGAACTATTATTTTATGGCTGTATATTCTTTTTCACAGTATTGTGAACTGTGTATTCTACAGATGTCTGCTACCCTTTCTCTGCACAGCAGAGGTGGTGGACAGGAACTGGTTTTGAAAGATGTGCTGATAAAAATATTCATTTGGGTGCATCTTTTTTAAGCACCTTGGGCAAAAGAACAAAGCTGGTTATAACTAGAGGCCTTATTTGCATTTTTACAGAACACAATTTTAATTTTTTGAGGCTTCACTTTCAGCAGATTATAGCACCATTATTACTACTTCTCTTTAGAGAAAAACATCTCTTCCCCACCCACCCCGACTGAAGTACATAAGCATTAGGAAGCGCATAAACTTTAAGAAGACTAAGGCACAGTTTAGATGGCATCTTAAATTGCAGCATGTAACTATCCATTTTTTCCTACATAATGCAGTCTGATTCTTCATAAAACGTATTGTTTTTGCAAAACACGCTTCAAATGAACCACATATTTATCATAGAAATAACTAGGGCTTGCTTAGTCTATTTGGCAAACAAATGAATCTCAGGGATCTCAAAGTAAGCTTTTGTTTGCCTGGCAGATTTTTAGTTTGTCCTACAACTTTTCTTCTTGTTTTAATGCTGTTGTGGTTTCAGATAAATTTAACAGATCAGAACACGGAATATAAATTTCTATTTAAACAAGACAATGCTATTGCACATCTGTACTGAAGCAAGGGTTTAAATCTTCTTGGGTTTTTATATCTCAAAGTACTCCTGGAATATCTGATAAAGTTACTGATTTATAAGCCAAGTGAAAAGTTTGTAGTTGTATGTCCCATAGCTGTCAATGCCATGCAGGTGATGAAATACAAATGGGCCAAGGATGAGCATTTCTTCGTAGGAGTGTATCTATCCCAAGAAAAGTGATCAATCTAAATAATTTCATGGTTTGTACATTACCTTCAGAACAAAAGATACAAAGCAAAAGAACTGAAGATTTTTGGTATCCAAAGAACAGCTTATGCTCATGCAAAGAGAGGTTTACTAGCCCTTTGGTTTTTTCAGTTCTTCATCATGGCTTGTCATTATTACGAAATACTTTTGAAACTGAGGAAAAATTCAGGTGCAGTTTGGCACTGTGAGAAAGGGGAGTTTGTTTAGAGAAATTATTTCATAGGTCTTTGGATCCCAGCCATACTTATTTCTCAGTGAAGAAATGTAAAATATATTCCAAAATAATTTAGATTGCCACTGTTGTAATCATGTTGTCAAACCAAGCGTGCTATTGCAAGATATGTGTGTGCATAATGGCTTTTACTGGGTGTGTAAACATCCGTGAGCACATCAGTGTTACTGCTTTTTGACTTTGTAGTCTCTTGAGTGGAGACTGCATGTCTTGCAATTTACTGAGGAGAATTTCTGCTTACTAAACTCATGAGAGTAAAATGAAGATTTAACAGTTGGCGCTTCCTCCCCCCAAGCAATATGTTTCAGAAGTCACTTTTTAAAAGAAGTAAATTGCATTTTAATCAGGCTATTACACTTCTGAATTCTGAGTTTTATGAGCACTTACAGAACAACTGTATTTCCAGAAATAGTAGCATAAGCCCTTTCTATCTATTTGCGAAGGCTTTCACAGCCGGGATCTAATTGTTGTGGGATTTTCGGGCTCTTTGGCCATGTTCTGAAGGTTGTTCTTCCTAACATTTCGTCAGTCTCTGTGACTGGCAGAGTGCTGTCCTCTGAAGATGCCGGCCACAGAGACTGGCGAAACGTTAGGAAGAACAACCTTCAGAACACGGCCAAAGAGCCCGAAAAACCCACAACAACCTTTCTGTGATTCAGCCAACATTTTAATTTTGTTTTGTTGGGGTGAAAACAAAAATAAAGGCTATCCATGAGGGATATGCTCTCTAATCACTCCAAATGGACATCTTAATATTGGGATAGATTGCACTATCTGTGAATTTATCAGGGCACTAGATCAAATTTCAACTTGATCTACTTTTCTCTGAAAGTATATTGAAATTTTACCAATGTTGTCCTCATTTTGGTTCAAGGAAAGAGATTTATTTGTTCTGTCGCAAAATAAGTGTTAAGACCAAGTCTAAAAAATTGCTTGGGTAACTTGCCAATACTCATATAAAGACAGATCTTTTCAACATAATGTGCAATATGTGTTTTTTCTAGCCTAACTTGGCATTGTTACAAAACATATTTAATAAAGGGTGATAGAGTTAAAGTTTATGAAGAATCAAATGTTCTGAGAAATATGAAGATTTAAAATAAGTAAATTTTACATATGATTTGTATTAAAGCACTATTTCTTAACTCTTTTTTGTCTGTCTTTGAATTAGTACAAAAATTTGACTTGCATAGATTTCCTTGTGGGAGTGATTGATTTTGGGCACAACATCAGTTTTCTAAGTGCAATTACTAGATATCAAAGGCTATAATAAGAATTGCTCATGACAGGACTGAATGAATTTGTCTATCTTTTCTCATCATTTATCGCTTTTGTGATTTTGAATCTAAACACAAACAGCTTTCTTCAATTTGTTTCCTTCCAAAACATCTGGACAGCACCACATTTGGGAGGGTTGTAGTTGACTTTGGCAGTGTGAAGGTTATGCTGTGTACCAGTATAAAAGATACCCAGTATTGTTAGTAGAAACTATTAATGCATGCTTCTGCTATAGACACTGAGCCACACAAACTCCAGAGGAAAAGCATCTCAGTGGAACAGATTACTCTCTCTCCCTCCTCCCATATTTGTCAGATGTTTGGGGGACCTCAAAGTGCAGGAGGAGGGAAGGGAAAGTTCTCTTGAACAAGTGAAAGTCAGCTTGCCTTATTAAGTCTATTGTCTGTTGTAACAGCCACCCTCAAACCTCAAAGAGTGGTTGCTACTTCACTTTAAACTCTGCTGCCACCAACTTATCCTTGAAAATCAAGCAAAGGACAAGTGTAACTTTGAAAAACAAAAACTGGTTTATTGATTACAGGAAATAAAAATAGTAAATCACTAGTAAAGAATCAATAAGTCAATCACTGTAAATCATGCACTGGCTCTCACAGACTATTTCGCACTGACAGGCTCTCTCACTCACTAACAATCACTTTAAACCCCCAGCACAAGCTCTCATCTCTAATCTCTATCTCTCTAACACCATACACACCTTTATATCCCAGCTCCTCCCCCTTTAGCACCACCTTCCGTCCCCTCATTGACTGCTGTTCCACTGCCCAGCTGTGACGGACAGGTGAGGGCAGGGCTGAACGTTACATCTGTGTAAAAAAACATACCGTACATGCTTTTGTTTCTTGCCAATCTGACTTGCTTCCACAAGATGGCATTGCACATTTTCAGTTTCTTTTTGCTTGAAACAGAGAAGGCAGCACAATATAAATTACATTTTAAAATGCTTGGGTTTGCATAACTTTATTTCCAGAGGCTTTTTGTTTCCTTCTGTTGAATTATAGCTGCTTAAAATTGTGGTTGTATTATCTTTGAACAAATATGCAAAAGGGGCCAGATTAGAGGTATTTTTGCAACAACCCACTCCTAAGATTCTTTCTGTTCTTGTCGTCTGTGGAGTTAATGTTTAAACCAGAGATGGTCAGAGTTAAGGAAAATGGAATTTGAAGGTACTGTATTAGCAGTAGAGAAATGCTGGCACCAAAGGAGATGAGTGACAGCTGAACGCTTCCTACCCAAGATCTCTTTTGAACATTTCATTCACTGAGGTGCTATGAAAAACTCCTATTTCTTGCAATCACTTAGCTAACTTTCTTACAATTGTATGTCTCAAGAATTGTGCTGTACTAGATTTGTTTCTTCGTAGTGGTCTCTGTGAATGCACACAAATGGGTTATCCTGCGCCTGCGCAGAAACGTCCAGAAGATTCTAGAGATTAAGAAAAAAGAATCAATTAGCTCCCCCTGCGGGGTATATAAGCCCCGCCTCCTCCATCTTCCTTTCAGTTCCTCTTTTTCCGCCGTTCCTGTAGGATGTAGGAAGAGCAGAGCTATCGACCGTTAAGTACTTAGCTAGCTACCTACCTACCTTTTTCTCTTGTTTTATTATTTACTTTATTTTACTTTAACGGTTATTCGACAGAACTTGCTGATTTTAAGTTACTACTTTTGTTCTGTCGCGTTTCCCCCCCCCAATCAACGATCCTCCTTTTTGTTTTTGTTTATGGCCCCTCAGGGCTTCAAACAGTGTGTCATCTGCTCCCAAAAAATCCCTTTATCAGACGGACACGATAAATGCTTGTTTTGTCTTGGAGAATCGCATCAAGATCAGTCTTGCTCTGCTTGCAAAGATTTTTCAAAACAAGCAATTAAGCTGAGGCACCAAAGACTTTGAGCTTTCCTTTACGAAAAGACTCTGTCTCCAAACATGGAAAGCGCCTCCCTCACAGCGCTGTCCTCTCCGCGTGCTGAGGCTTCTAAACAGGTCTCTTCAGCAGATCAACCACTGCTTACCGTCTCTGTGCCGGTTAAGGCTAAGCACACTTCCAAACTGCCAAAAGCAAACCGCCTTCACGCCCTGCAAAAAAGAATGCTGCTGATAAGCCCAAGAGTGCGAAGAAATTGGCTAAGTTGCCTGTTGTACCTCCTCCCGTTCCTTAGATATTGCTTGAGGAGTCTTCGAGGGAAGCAATTGGACTCTCTGATACAGAGGAGCACTTTCCTTTAGCCCAGACAGCTCAGGAACATATGTGCATGCTACCAAACTCGGCCGATTTGAGGCTGAGCCAGACGCCAGCTGGGTCGTTGCCCATTCAAGCCCTCGATACTCAGGGCGGGCTGATACCGAGTCTCCATCTGAACGGAAGTCTGAGCATGAAACTCCTAGGAAGCG